GTCAGCTGAATTAACCATCAAGCTAACTGATGTTAGTTTTCATTCTGGTGCAAGCTTTTTATCTAATCACAGACCAGTGACTCCAATTAGCAGAACATACTGAGTAACACTTGTTCATATCACAAGGCTCTTTGCATTCTGTTTGAGACTGCAATTCTTTTTATGTCTTGAGTCAGTGTTCTCATAAATTTTATTCAGCTGTAAGTGTGAATTATAAGTGAGTGAGAAATCATTGGCTATTTTGGTGACTTCAGTTCTCAGCCCTGAAGGACTGAGTCTGGGCTACTCTCATGAGTAAGATTATTGTATTAGTCAGTTTTCTGTTACTATAACAGAATACCAGAGACAATAATTTATAAGGAGGTAATGTTGGTTTCACTCATGGTTTCAATCAAATATAACATTAGCCCCATTGCTTAGGTCCATGGCAAGACAGTACATCCTTATGGGAACATGTGGCAGAGGAATTCACATGGAGGCCAGGAAGCAAAAGAGAAAGAGGAGGGGCTGGAGCCCGAAAACCCCTCAAGGGCATACCCCTAGGGCCTAAATTACTTTTGCTAAGCTTCACCTCCTAAATGTACAACCACCTCCCACCACCACCACAGGCTGGGATCTAAGCCTTTAATACCTGAGCCTTTGGTGTATGCTTCTAAACCATAGCAGCTACCCATTGCCCGGATTCCTTTAATCCAGCAAGGAAACATCCAGTCAGTAGCCAGAAACTGGATCCCCTCAGAAGGTCTGGTGTAGCACCAACCTAGATTGGTGAGTATGGGTAAATATATAACAACTACTCCAGTCAAGATAGAAAATGTCCCCGTCATTCATTTTGCCTCTGTTTACCACCATTCACTTTCAACTCTATGCAACTAACAACTGCTTTAGCCTGAGAGTATCACATGTTCAGTTTGGCTCATTATGTTGTATAAAGTGAATTATTTCCCATTACTTTGTGTGTGGTGGGTGGGGTATATGTGTGTGCATGGATTGAAGTAAGTAAGGATTGAACCTCACACATGCAAAGCCTGTGCTTTACCACTGATCCACACCCCCGGCCTTACTGCCCCTCCATTGTTTTTTAACCAAGCCTCAATTATCAAAAATAATTAAACATTACATTAAAGAACAGTACAAAATAACACTATAAAATTACAGCATCCATTCACAATTTAAAGAAATTTACAAAAAAAAACAAAGAAGTAGTTGGCACTATTCAGTTGTGCTCTCTGTTTTGTTCATATTTTTAAAATCTCACCTCTATTGAGTTACTTCTTGAAAGCAATATCTCTTTGGTCTCAGAAATCAATTTTGTACTTTTATAAAATATATATCTTAAAATCTGAGTCTGGCCATCTCTTAGCCATACTACATTAATAATCAGCCTAGACTACAAGGAGGAAAAGTCAGTCCAGAGGTTTTGCTGCCTCACTCCTCTGATTTTAGGTATATGCTGGAGAACCAGAGGAGGAAGGTAATTGGTTTTTGTGGAATTTATAGGTATTTGGGTAACTCTTTGCTGGGGGTAAAACAGGCACCCAAGAGAGACATATTAATCCGGTCACAGTGGTGAATATGACCAGGAACTCCTTGATGTCCCCCTTGCTTGGGCCTGGAGCGTAGGCTTGGGGATCTACGCGCTAAGTCCGAGCTCAAACTTGAGCAGTTCATATATTGTTTTTCTTCATCTATAAAATGAGGATTAGAATAACTCATAGTAGGCTGAGGATGGAGCTCAGTGGTAGAGCATTTGCCTAGCATGTGCGAGGCCCTGGGTTCTGTCCCTAGCACCACAAAAAAATTGCCTCATGGAGTTGTGGAAATAATTATTCAACAAGTCATTCACAAATATTATTGATATCTGCTATTGGCCACACACACTGTGCTGAATTCTGATGATAACCACAGTGAACAAAGTCTCTTCTCTCAAGACTTTCACATGTCCTAGTGAGGAGAGATGTCATGGAGGGGGAGGGGGAGGGGATGAGGTCAGTGAGATATATGGATGTGGGTGATGCAGATCAGGGAAGGCTTTGGAGTCCATTGTGAGGGCTTTGGGTTCTACCATAAATGCTAGGTGGAGCCATATGATGGTTTCAAAATGAGGAATGACCAATACACCTTACATTTTCCAGGAATTATTGTGTTTGCTAAGTTGATGCTAAATTATAGATAGGCAAAGATGAAAATAGGTAGAATAATTATGTCATCTCAGCAATTGGAGTAAAGGATGGTGGTGGCTTGAATTAGTATAATAGCAGCAGAGGTAGTGGGATGAGCTCATGTTTTGAGGGTAACCTACACATTTGCTGATGACTTAGATGTGGAGTGTGGAAAAAAACAGAGAAGGCAAAGGTTAGTCTCCATTGTTTGACCATTCACTGATTTAGGGAGGACTCCAGTACATGTTGGTTTGGAGGGAATTCTAGAGCTCATTTTCTAGATATGCTACATATTTTTGGAGGTGATGTTGCTGGAGATGGAACTCAGGATCTTTTGCACATTAAGTAGGTGCACTTTACCACTTTACCCCAAGTCTGTGCACATGTAAAACTTAAGATGTCTATATTATGTCTCTCTTAGGTATTAGAATGTCTATATTAGATATTCAAAATATCAAGTATCCAGTTGAATCCAGGAGTCTGGAATTCATGGGTGGGAGATCACATGGAGATAAACATAGAAGATCCTTGATAGACTGAAAGCTAGATCTAGGCTTCAATTGTTGATGGAGAAGTGAGGAGGGAAGGACACCACCCTGAGGATTCTCTGGCGGGGGGGGGGGGGGTTGGTAAGGAGGAACCAATAGAGAAGGCTGGGAGATAAGGAGGTGACCATCAGCATCCAGCTTTGCTGGTACAACTGAGGTTGACCATTTTGTATGAGAGAGTAGATAGAAGTACCCCAGGTGTCCTATGCACCAGGAGTGTTTAACTAACTTAGATCTCTCCTCATCCTCCTTGCTTTCTTTTCTGTTTGGGGTGGTGGAAAACCTCCCCCAGGTTCATGAGTCCTGAAAGCCTTACTTGGAGAAATGTTCTAAATCGTTCCTGCCTGAAGTTTACTTAAGCCAATATGAACCCTCCTGGTGAGGCATGACCGGTGCCTACTAAAATCACATGACTTCAGAATGGAGTTTCTAAATATATCATCTCGTTAAAACTCATAAACTTGCAGTGCTCTGTTGTCTTTGAAGAAAAAAAAAAAACAGAGGAGATCAGTGTTTGGATGGGCTCACCAGGTTCTGGGCAGGATGCCTTCACATAAAATTGTTTATTTCTTCTTATATACATTGTGTGTTTATTACATATAACATTTTAGATTTGCAGTGTTCACTGCCCTGGTAATAGTTATTGTTTTTTGGCCAGTTCCATATCTGAGTTTTAATGAATGAATGGACTCTAGTAAGTCTCCCACCCCCAGCCTTTTCTGTATATGATTTTCATTTTATAAATGCTGACCCAACCTATTCTTGAGTAAGCCCCTGAAAATGTTTTATGGTGATACTAAGTTTTATTCTTGTCCCTGAAGGTTGTGTTCAAAAAATTGGAGAGCAGTTCACATTTTTCAAAGCATTCCTTTATTCAAAAATTTATTGAGCCTTGCAATCAGTCTGATTATACTAACTTGCTTGTTTTCAAAAGCATTGATGTGTTGTTCCTTTTTCACTCTGCATTCTGTCCTACATTGCATTGCCTCCTTTCTTAGCTGCAGACGATAGGCTGAACTTTTCCTAGGTTCCAACAAACACTGAGAGTCCAATTGGAAAAGAAAATGTACATACATCTTAATTTTTGTTTGCTTTGCATAAGACTGTTGTAATGTTGGGAATCAGGAGGTAGAATGACAGGTTTGGGTGGAGAGAGACTGAAGGATGCTACTGAGAAGCAGCTAAGTCCAAGTGTAGAATACTACAGAGTTCAGTGGCCACAGCAAGCTATATAACTCCAGTGATGGGCTCTTGCCTGGCACCTTGAACCAAACTAAAATGATTTTAGAAAATTGAGTTAATTATAATTCTTATTCTACTCTTTTGAAAATTGTTGGGAGCTGCAATATTTCCAGCCTACTATTTAAACACTCTTGCAGATAAGTTCATGAGGTATTGAGCCAGTAAACTTTAAAATAGCATGCAGAATTTCCATTTTTTCTTTCTGCATCTTAAGGGAATGTTCCTCCTCTGACTTATTTCACATTGTTAACCCAAGGATTTCCTTGCCTAAGAGTTCTCTAAAATATTTTCATCCTCTCATAATCATTTCATCACTTTCTACCTTGCATTGTATTTGGTTGAGGCTTGATGAATGAATATGTACATCAGGCTATATTAACAAAATGCAAGGATTTCAATGGCCAGGATGATGCCTTTTTATGTTTGTTACCTCTCAGAGCTTATTTAAATAATTCAGTATTTTGTACAGGATGGGAGTTCAATGAACATTTGTCTAATGGACCTGAATAAGCATTTGTAACTGTGGTATTGATTGCTTTATCCAATGGTGAATTCAAAATGTGTAATAACAACTAAAGATATGATCTCATTGAATTTGTTTTTATTTATTTTATTCATTTTCGTTGTTTTGCAAGGACACTCTTTTTATATTTGTCTATTTACCAATGTGCCTCAACATTTATGGAGCTTAAGTTGCCTTATATGTTTTACTTCAACCTATTGTGGATAATTACCTGGCATTCGTAAGCAGAGTATGACTCTAACAGACTCTCTCCTAATAATTTAAAATTACTTGAAATACACTTTCTCTGGTGACTTTAGATATATTTGTTTCTATCTCTTGGTCTTTGAAGAGAGCCAAATGTCCTGGCAATTCTGTAAAGCCAATATAAACCCTATGCCAAAATGTGCTTACATATTTTCAAAAGCCAAGATTATTATTTACCTAATAAAAATGCCTTTAAGTGTTCTGTTATAATAAAGTTCTATGTATTTATTAACATTTTAATAGAAATTCTCTGAAGTCTTGTTTTTTTGTACATGGTAGCACAGGGAAGCTCAAACATGAGTGGTTTCTCCAGAAAGATTCTGAAGGGGACACACCTTCACTTATCAACTGGCCTTCCAGGTACATCTCACGTTGTAAAACTTGTGGCTCATGTTTAATGGATGCTTTTCTGTTTTCCCTTGGACTTGGCTTTGCTATTCCACACTTTAGCTAATGCTGACTCTCCTCTTGCCCTCTTGTTAGTGGCAATGCATTTGAAAACCATGTGTTCAAAAAGAACTTACTTTCAAATCATTGTTTTCTCCTCGCATCACCCTAATCCATGCTGATAGCGTTTCTCTTCCTCCTTTCCCTCTCTCTGAGGATCTTTTCTATACCTTTTGCTTTTCCCCTTTCTCACCAACTCACACAGAACTGGCCTTTTGGGGGCAGTAGTGAGTGCATAAGCAGTCCTTGGTCTTTGGAATCTCACTGAACAGCCGGCCAGTGTTTCCTCTTGCCAGAGCCTCTCTGTCCAGCACTCCGGCTCCTTGTTTTATGTCTCCTTGTCTCTAAACTCTGGCATTTGTAGTTAATTTTCAACAGTAAATTTAGGGCATGTGGTTTTAAAAGCAGACAAAAACCCCTATCATTTCATCTTTTAAGACTGGGGGCAGGGAGAGGCAAAAGAAGTAAGAATGAATAAGTCATTGGAGGGACAAAGCACCCATGTACTGAGTTTCTAACAGTGACTTTGTTCTCAGCTGAGGACAACATTCAGATTGTCTCTGATTAGAAGCACACATTCCACCGGAGAACTTGACCACATTTCAGACTCCTTTTAAAAGATTAACAAAGGTTATAAATATGAAAACCTCCAACACTGGCTAGTCTCTGAGAAAAATAATAACTCAGAATGTTTGTTTCCCACGAATTGTTCATAATAACTGCCTTTTATGTGTATCTTTTTTTTTAAGAATCTGTACCAATATCCTGCTTAAAAACCACAGAGGTGTTTATATTTATCAGGGTACACTTGTCCTTAAATGGACCATTCTTTTCTGTAAAGTGTGCATCATAATTACTTTTGCTGAGTCATTTTAAGTAAATCAAAGTTATACATTTTCCCAAGAAATCACTTCTCCCACTCCAAATGTCTTCTTTACTTTTTTTTAAACGTCAGAGCCAATCAGTAATCCATTATCAGTTTGAATGGTTTTCCCTTTCTCACTACATGGTATTTCAAAAAGTAAAATTAAGAACTAGATCATACTTCCAAACGTTTATTCTTTGCTGAACACTAAGCCATGTGTTTTGCAAATAACATACTATGTACATTACATCACTATTATTTTCTTTTTCTTTTCTTTTGTGGTGCTAGGGAATGAACCCAGCACGTGCTCAGCAAGCACTCTGCCGATGAGCTATATCCCCATTCCACTATTATTCCCATTTAAAAGGTAAAGCAAGTGAGGCTTGAGAAGGGCAAGTAAGTTGCCCAAGACTCTTAGGACCCCACAGCCAGAACTCTTGGCTAGTTTGCTTCTGCAGTAATGGGGAAAAAGTCTGTGGCTTTTAAATTGGATTTCAGTTTTGCTCTCAGATTTGTAAATAACTCTAGAAACAGAGGAGCCTTCTTTTTTTTAGATTAGCCTTCAAGTGAGGGCTTAACAGCAATTGCAGAGGGGAAATGGTTGCTTCATTAACTCTCTCAACATATGCCTTTTACCTAACACTCATGGTGCTGCAGTGTTAGTAAGGATGTCTGAACTGGTCACCTGTCTTATGAATGAATGACTGTTGTCTGCATGATATATGAATATAGTTTGCATGAAAAAGCTTGTAAATGTTTATCTGAGTGCTTCAAAAGAGAAGTGATTATCCTATCTTGAGCTCCATAAAAAGTAAATAATCACAAATGCCCTCACATTTCCAGGAGATAATGAAATCACAGTGGCCAGTAGTTATCTGGAAACACTCCCACCATTCCCACCCACTGTCCATATAGTAGTAAACATGCAGAAAGCTTACTGATTCAAGGCTTCTTCCTCAGAGTTCCCAACTGCATACCAGTGGTGTACATTAATGGATTTTTCTGTGGCTTCTAGGTATTTATCTAGTCAGAAGGAACCCAATCTCCTCCAGGACAGCATCTGACCCCTCTCAGCTTTACAGGGGGTAGAATTAGTTTCGCACTACACTGGCATAAGCATGCAGATTTGTAAACTTAACTCAAAACCATTTACATGGCACATACTGGATTTCTGCCTTAGGCCACATGCCTTTCCCAATGTTTTCTTTTTTTTCTGAGTTGATTTCCATTCACTGGTAATCTGTGATCCACGCATGCTCTCTTCCCCTTTGCAGTTACTGCACGTTGCAACTTAAATCCCTTTTCTTTCTTAAAGAGTTAAAGTTAGAGAAAAGTTGGTGAAAGAGGAGAGTGCTCGCAGCAGCCCTGAGCTTGCCTCAGAGTCCTTAGCTCAGAGGAGACATCAGCCGCTGTCAGTCCATTACCTATCCTTTCAGTCAGAAAACTCAGCCTTCGATAGGGTCGCAAGCAAAGCAGTGAGCTCTGTGAGACAGCCGAGCCGTGGCTACGTCCAGCCAGTGGACCCCGTGCACACAGTCAAGCTGGTGACCGCAGAAACCCCAGAAAATACATCTGAGTGCAGCTGGGCAGGATCAGCCACCCCAAATGTCATAAAGCCTTCCACCTCGAAGGTTCTAGAAGATGAGAAAAGAGATGCCCCAGTCCTTCATATTTCTGAATCTAAAGAAGAAGATGATACGCTCTTCACTGAAGCTCTGGAGAAGAACCAGAAAACACTCTTGACCTTGGAGGAGGATGGGCTTGCAAGCAGTCACAAAGCCTCCTCTGGGAACGAAGACTTGGGGCAGCAGCCTGCTGTTAGCACAGTCTCCTTAGAACCTCAGAAGGAACCTCAAGTTCAGCTCCAGCCTGCTGAGAGAATGGGCCGAAGTGAAATGGTTTTGTATGTTCAGAGTGAGCCTGTGTCCCAGGAGGCCACACTAACCAGTCGCAAAAAGGGAGCACCTCCGAAGAAGCACAAGGTCCTTACCCGCTCGCTGTCTGATTACACGGGTCCCCCTCAGCTCCAGGCCTTGAGGTGTAAGGACCCAGCTCCAAAGCGAGAGCTGGAGCCACAGAGTTCCAAGACCGAAGGGCCCAGTGCAGAAGCCAGCATCCTGGACACCAAGGTCTCCGTTGCCCAGCTCCGAAATATGTTTCTGGAGTCTGTCAGAGCCAACAAGAAACCTGAACTGTAGGTGATGTTGCAAACGTCCTCCTGATGTGTCACTTGCACGTCCATGGCAGAATGACTCACTTCTCAACTTGTGTTGTGTACTGCGTTGAATCGTGTTAGCTTAGCTCACAAGTGTGTGCAGGGCAGACTGTACAGGAAATGGCTCACAAACTACCATTCTGCTTCAGCCTACTAATGGGGAGCTGGAGGAATGGGTCTCGGGAGTGCTCCACCTCCATCTGTGCATGGTAGAGGCATGTAGAGGGGTCTAGCAATCTGTGCCTTGACTCGCTGAGATGCCTAAACCTTTGTTTGCTTTATTCTCTTTCTGTCTTCCCATTCCCCTGCTGTGTAATCTCTGCCCTGTGATTCTAAAAGCCAATCACGGGTTGAGAAGTCATCCGAAGGACTTGGCTTGCCTACCCGTATGGAACGGGAGAGAGGGTCCCGGAAACCAAGACGCTATTTTTCTCCTGGTGAAAGTAGAAAAACTTCTGAGCGATTTAGAACTCAACCTATAACCTCAGCAGAACGAAAGGAATCGGATAGGTAGGCATGCCTCTGTGTAGTTCCATCGTATAGGAATGTAAAATAAAGAATGCAGGATTTTTACCAACCTGATGGTCCTGATGCTATTGACAAAGGATGTTGGTGATTCTATTACTCTTCTATCTAATCTATTAGGGATGTTTATTTGTCTTACTTAAATATATTTTAAAAGAAATATTGACCTTCTCAGCAATATCACCATATGGTTTTAAATTACATTCAGATGGCAAGAAGAAACATTATTTTTCTTCATTTGAGGTTTTTAACTTCTTTCCACTCTTGTTCAAGTAGAATCTGAATTAAGTATTGACCAAGTTGTCAGTGAAAATAAGAAAGGAATTTTATATTCATTATATTATACTCATTTTCAGGGTAAGATGTATTTAAGTTTCTACGTTATCATATGTTCTTTCATAGAAATGATAGTTTTCTCAAAAATTTATCATGAGTCCCGTTTAATAACTTGTTTGTGATCCTGGGTTTTCTCCATGAAGTGTTCACTTGGCTGGGATTTTGTGTACACGCTTTCCACAGTGTCAGTTAACAACTATATGTGTGTGTATTCACAGCTAGGGTTGCTACCAGGATGATATTCTTTAAGAGAGGTCAATTGCATCTGTATTTTAACTTTTAATGTGATGTCTTATTTGGATCTTCCAATCCCACCACTAATTCATTGTTATTATTTGCTAATATTTCTTCCAGGTATACTTCAAGTTCAGAAATGCCAACTGTTGAAGGCAAGTATCTGTTTTCCTTTTTCTTCCTTCTTTCTGACCTATCCAAATTAGATTTAAAAAACAAGATTTTTTTTTTTACTTTTTTGTGGGGGGAGAATAAGACTATGGAAATTATTTATTTCTTACTTTCAAAGCAAATGTGCTGTGAATATAATAAAACCTAGGAGAAATTTTTTAATGGGTTTCCTTATTTTTGATGAGTTAAGAAAATCACAAAGTAAACAATATAGAAACAACTAATTTGAACCCAAGAAGCAGGTTTTTCTTGTTACTTGCTCCTGAACAACAATAAGAGAAATCCCTTTCATAAAATCTATGCTTGAATCTCCATTGGTTAAATATAATCTGAACACAGTTTGGTATGGTTAGGTTTGGTTTGAATTACATTAGGAATTAGTTTCTTTTTATTGAACAGAAAAAATGGGCTAGTCCTAAGAGGAAAATATTCCCAGTTATTTTGGTTCACTTATGCTTTTTTTAAGGGATTTCCAGATCAATCTTGGAAAATGGTCTAGAGACATTTACATTTTGAAATGATGTTCAGTTTTTATTTCACGGCTTTTTACAGATGAAGAAAAGGTAGATGAACGAGCCAAACTGAGTGTTGCTGCCAAGAGGCTGCTTTTCAGGGTAAGATGTGCAGAAAAACTTGGTTAGAAATCATAACCCCTATAGAAGGAGACTCTCAAGGCTCTGGCTACTTCACACACTCTGAGAGCCCTAAAGTTCTCCTCATCTGGCCCACCTGTTGTTCTCTTCCTATGCTGTGTTAGTCAGCTTTTCATTGCTGCAACTAACTGCCTGAGATAATGAACTTAAAAAGAAAAAAAGTGTGTTTTGACTCATAATTTCAGATGTTCCAGTCTGTTATCAATTGTCCTATTGCTTTGGACCTGTGAAGAAGCAACACATCATGGTGGGTAGCATGTGGTGGAGGAAACTGCTTACCTCATGGCAGCAGAGATGAAAGACAGAGAGGAAGAGAATGAGTCCCGCAATCCCTTTTTTAGGGCATTCCCTCCAATAACCTAAAACTTCCCACCAGGACCCACCTCTTGAAGATCCTACCACCTCCCGATAGTGCCAAGCTGGAGGGACCAAGCCTTTAACACATGGGCCATTGTGGAACATTTCAGATCCAAACTATAGCATATGCTTTGACTGATTTTGTCCCAGCTGTCCCAGCCTGACCCGTTCACTCCTGATGAGGATGCATGGTTCTCATTGCTCGGCCCTCCTGTGGATCTTAGAGGAGGACAGAGTAGAGACATTTCACTAGCCCGATTTCCTTTCCTTGGATTTAGAAGATTCCTCAGTGTTTCTAATCTTAGGAAATGGAGAAATCATTTGAGGAACAAAATGTCCCAAAAAGATGCTCGAGAAACCCAGCCGTGGAGCAAAGGCTGCGCCGCCTGCAGGACAGGTCTCACACCCAGCCCATAACCACTGAGGAAGTCGTCATTGCCACCACGTGAGTCTCCTGTGCAATTGCTTGGCCTCGGCTGTAAAGTCTCCTCTTGGTGGGGGTGAGAGGGGGAAGACTTAAAGAATTTTAGATAAAGATGAGGCAATATAACCAAGTTATGTGAATACGTTGCATGTACCCACTGTTACTTATAATTATAAGGCATCAATTAAGACTCTTATTTTTTAAACAAGGAGACAATTGGAAGATAGGTTGGCCAAGAAGTCACAGAGAAGTTGGTTTTTCAGGATTTCCTTTTCTACTACCATCTCTCCAAGCTTTGTAATGAGATGCACCACTTATTGTAGCTCCTTGAAAAATATCGAGGAATTTTACCCATACAATTTGGGTTTTTGTCTCCATGTTTTATTTAAAATGTAAAATATGAAAGTAGATTTAAAAATAATGAACCCCCAACTTCAGTGAACCATTGTCAACTCCTGTAGCCCCATCCTCTCCCCCTTTCCTCCTGCATTATTTTCAAGCAAATCCCAGACATCACTTCATCCATGAATATTTCACTATCTCTAAAAGATAAAGATTCATTTTGTTTTTGAATAGTCAACAAGTATGTTTTTTTTTAATTACTTGGAAGTTTGATGACTTTCCAAATCACAGGATGTCTCTTTTGAGCAATATGTTCCAGTATGTGCAGAATTAATTTCCCAAAGTAATTCATTCAGAGATAATGGCTTCAAATCAAATGAAAATTTTTATTAATTTTTTAAAAATTGTTTTTATGGGCATTGACATCCCAAAAGGCCTCATCAGTTTGTTAAGAGAAATTATTTTAGAGTTGTTGGTATAAAATAAGAAACAGATACCCTTGGAAGCAAGACAGTAAATAGAGGAAGAATTAGCATCTTATAACCTCAGTGAAACTCCTTTGATATATCTGTAGCTTATATGAGGATACTAATTCTTTTGGGGTGAACTTTTAAAATTTATTTATTTATTCAAATTTATTATATATGACAGCAGGATGCATCTCAATTGATAACACACATATAGAGCACAGTTTTTCATGTCTCTGGTTGTACACAAAGTAGAGTCACACCATTTGTGTCTTCATACGTGTACTTGGGGTAATGAGGACCATCTCATTCCACCGTCTTTCCTACCCCATTGCCCCCTCACATCCCTTCCCTACCCTTTGCCCTATCTAAAGTGCCTCTATTCCTCCCATGCTCCCCCCCCCCCACCATCCCCATTATGGATCAGCATATGAGGAGACTAATTCTTTTTTTAAAAAGAGAGAGATTAAGAACACCATTCTAAAATGTGGGCATAATCTATTGATTTGCTGACAGCTGGGTTTTTTTTTTTAATTGCTTTTTTCAACAAGGAGGTTTATGCTAAAGATGAAAGTAAATCTACAAGCCCTATAGCTATACTTAGTCCATTTACTTTGGGCAGCCTCTTATTTTCTAAGTTTATAATTGCTTTTTGAGTTCGTTTATGTTTTTTTTTTCTAAAGTAATTAGCAAATAATTTGGTAAAATATTTAACATTTCTGAATTTGAAACCATGCTTTCTTTAATGCTTCTTTTCTTCTCTCTCCTTATGAATGTTCCTTCTTTGGCAATTGCTTGTAAAGTGAATCTATCGCTGCTTCGTGTTCTGGGGTCACCCAACCTGTAATGACGAGACTTCCTAGTCCTACTGTAGCTAGGAGCTCTGTGCAGCCCGCCAGGTACCGGACAGAAACAGCTGCGTGTGGCACCGGGTGCAAAGGTGCTGGGCAGCAGAGGCATCTGAAAGCCTCAAATGCCTTTCATTTGTTTGACAAACAAGTTGGGGCAGTGAGTTGTTCCCGGAATGTGTGGCATTTTGTTTTGTCATCCTGCAAGCTACTGATAATGTCATGTAGGCCTGCATGAGACAACACGTAGCCCATCTGTGTACGTCCTGTGTTGGCATTAGAATCGCACTAACTCACTTACCCATTTGTTTTGCTTCTGTTTTTTTATAAGAATGGTCAGTCCTAAAAATTTTCATCAACTAAAATACAAGCCCTTAAAGATGAATAGAGAAATGGGCATCTGCATGAAAGTGGAAATTTTGATAAGACCCACCCAGTTCTTTTAATCATGGACACAAATACACATTAAAAACAATCCTCCCTTTTTAAAATTTATTTAGAGAGACAATGCCCTTATATTTTAGGATTGAGATAATAATTTATAGTGTCTGATCATAGATATTTTACTGTTACATTTCAAATGGTAGTGTTTTAAAATTATGCCCTTAAGCCATGTAAATATCCCCTTTGTTTTACTCCCATGGGCCAGAACAGAAAGGCTAAAAATAAGATTAAAAGAAGTGAAATGACAGTGTAGGAATGAACTGGCAGTACCCAGGAGCAAGGCTCTCAGGGAAGCAGGCTGTTGTCCTACCAGCTTGTGGTACTTGGCTCAGGAAAGCCTCTAAGGCTCAAGTGGCCTTTCTCACCACCTCATTGTACCTGGACACAGAGACTGCTCTTTGGTCTGGACAGCCTGTGAGTCAGTGATCAACTGCAATGAAGACAGAATATGCTTCTTACTAGATTTGAGAATTAGATTTGCTGGTGGCAAAAAGGATATTGTCCTAGAAACCATTAGAGAGTCACAGTGACCATGGAAGCCAAAGCCTTACTTTTCCTAACTGGAAGGTGGAGGGATTTATTATTATTATTATTATTATTATTATTATTATTATTATTATTATTATTATTTGGGTGGGGATGCTAGGGATTGAACCCAGGACCTTGCACCTGCTAGGCAATTAATTGTTTTACCACCGAGTTCCATCCCCAGCCTTTGTTGGGAGGATTAATAATCACCTGAAATTTTATTCACTTTTAAAGTTATTGAGAATGAGACTTTAGAACCTTTTAAAAAGAACTGGTAGAGAAAGCTATAAGAGAAAATGCTACACAAAGGCAAATTAAAAATCTGTGTTGCAGATTCTGTTGTTGACAGATAACCATATTTCCAGTTATTTAAAATAAATAACTGGAAATGAAATGATGAAATGGTTACCTCCTGGACATCTTTGAAGAATATCTGTCCATGCCCTAGGTAATGCCTTGTGACTCCGTTAGCCTTACTTCTTATGACACTAATGCATCTGTCTCAGAGTATGTCCTACCCAATTTCAGTTCCCTACATAGGAAATTTACTGTTTAGAAACAATTCAGAACTAAAAATCTGCTTGCTGTAGAAATGCTAATTAATGCTAGTGTCCCAAGCCTACTGTGCTACTCACTGTCTTGTTTAATACCTAAGCAATTGCCTACCCTCGTCCTAAGTTTGTGTAGAGAAAAATAAGCCCTTTGCAAAATTAAGTGATACTTTGAAGAAAGCTAACATATAAAATTAGCAGTGGGCTTTTGTTCCTTTTCACCTACATCCCTGACTTTCACTCCTTCCCTTTCAGATTACAGGCATCTGTTCACCAAAAGGCTTTAACCAGGGACGAGGCAAATGAGGGCAAAGATTCTGCTGAACCAGGAGAACCTGATTCCTCCACTCTGAGCTTAGCAGAGAAGTTGGCCTTGTTTAACAAATTGTCCCAGCCGGTCTCAAGAACTATTTCTACCCAAAACAGAATAGACATGAGACAGAGGAGAATGAATGCCCGCTATCAAACCCAACCCGTCACACTTGAAGAGGTGGAACAGGTGAGTACACTGTTATTTCATTCTGGTGTGTGCATATGTTCTTAAAACGTAGCACAGTATACTCTTAGGTTGCTGATATAATTAAGGCAGTCTGCCAGCAAACTGTGTTATGGACAGGTAATTTGGTAATAATTTCATCCCTAAGAATTACGTTTCTCTTGTTTTTGTAATTTGCACGCAAGATCTGAGTCCATTTTTGGAGACAAAAAAATATATAGACATATATTAAGGCCAACCTTCTTCCCGTCTCCCACCCCAGAAGTTTTGTTTGAGATGTATTATGGTTTATCACTGAGATAAGCAGTGAAATGTACCAAATGTCGTATTTCAGTTTGTGTCAATCCAAAAACCAAAGTTTATGTAGATATTGCTTTTCCACCGGTTTTTACTTTTTAACTGTATCCTCCCAGGTGCAAAATGGGAAACTCATTCCCTTCTCACCTACTGTGAACACATCTGTGTCCACCATGGCCTCTACTGCCACCCCGATGTATGCAGGGGATCTTCGGACAAAGCCATCTGTTGATGACAGTACAGATACCACTGACTATAAGTTTCCTTCTTCGATAGAAAATGCAGACTTTCCAATAAAAGGCATTCTGAAATCACAAGCCTGGCAGCCTTTGGCGGAGGGTAGTGGGAGCAAAGGAGTGATGAGAGAATTTGGAGAGACAGAAAGCAAGAGAGCTTTGGCTGGAGACAGTGGTATTAAGAAGTACGGGTCCTATGAGGAAGCAGAACTCTCCTACCCTGTCGTTGGCAGAGTCAGGGAAGGGGATAGCCATAAGGACTCTAAATACCCTGTTCCAAGGAAAGGAAGCCTGGAACTAGCCAACCCCTACATCGCTCATCTTGATGAAGAACCAAAGGAATTTTCTACTGCCAAAAGCAGTGCACAAAGAAATCTGGACTTGAAAGACAGGCAGCCCTTTGAGGAAAAGGTGGACATGGAGAATGTCACAAAAAGGAAGTTTTCACTCAGAGGTAAATTACTACTGTTCCTCCAGTTTTCTATGACAACAGGGTTTTTAGTTTCTGCTTGATTTGTTGCATGTATTTGTGATTCCTTTTAACTAAATTATAAACGCAGTTCGTAACTAGTATGGATCAAAAGTGCAGTGTGAATCCTCTTCTCCCCTCAGACCTCTCTTCCCCTTGAGTCCAGCATGGTCAGTGGAGTGATTTTTTTTTTATTATTGATTAAAAAAAGTGTTGTTTTTTTTTTAATCAATAAAAATGACTAAAACCCTTTCACACACCCTGGCTTACCTGGTAACTGTTGTCATTGACTCATACAACTGTCTTCTGAGGTGCTTAGCTCTCTTGAACCCTGTTATAAGTTGAAGGTCCAAAAGATCCAGGGCTGGATAATCATAGGGAACAGGACTTTGAACTAGTCTCTCATTTCTAGGCTCTTTCTTTCTACACCCCTGTTTGGAAGGCTAATAAACTCTACTGCATGGGACTTTAATCCTCTTTCTATGTTTGCATACAGTGATACTGTGTAAGTAAAGGTTTGGGCTTTTGATTACAACACACTTAAAATATCAAAGTATTGTTTGGGAGAAGTAGAAACATCCCATGGTGTGTAATGGAAACTAACATCCTGGGTCTTGTGCCTAGGAGACAGATGGATCTGCTGTGTGGAGCAATCCACCAGGAAGTTTGATTTTCTCACAGAGTATAGCTGCAGATTTGCATAAACCCAAGTGCACTGGGTGACGTGCCATGTGCCCACGGAGTAACTCCAGGGCTGTACTGTTGGGAGGTGAAGAGCTGGAGGAATGTCAGCTGGAGGAGTAATGCTGATGTCGCTCCTTTTCTCCCAGCCTCAGAGTTCGGGGAGCCTGCTTCTGAGCAGACAGGGATAGCTGCTGGGAAAACTGTTGCTCAAATGGCAACCCCAGGGTCCTGGAAGCAGGAAGATTCTTCAGAACAACTACAAGAGAAGTACTATAAGAATCCATGCACCATGTTTGCTGTAGGAGAGATCAAAGCGCCCATGGAGGAAGGCATCCTTGATTCGCCTAGCAAAACCATGTCAATTAAAGAAAGGTAATAAGAGTTAATGACTGGAAGTAATTCTATGGGGAAGGAGCTGACAACTGGTTGTAGAAAAAGATCTGGGTAATGGACCAAGATGAAGTCAAGAATTCAATTACATTTGAGAATATTCTGTGATATTAGGATAATTCTGGAAAATCAAGATGTTTGAGAGTGAATTGCCTTTGCCCAGAGCCTGGTTTAGCAATGCTGATAGGATCCCAGTTCCAGACTCCAAAGAAAAAACAAACAGAAAAGATTTTTCATTGCTTTATTTATTTGCAGTAGCCATTTCTTTTATTATGTTAAATTCTTGGATTATCTAGGGATGGAAGTTGAGTTCTTGGCTCTTTCTGTTTCAGAGACACATGGTTTGAACCAAATGCACAAACCACTTCTGATTGTAAAATAATTACAGAGGGAATGAAGATAAATTAGTACATAGAATCTACAGCTTTGGAATTAGAATCTAACTCTTTTATTTATAGAAAGTAAGATGAATGACTTTTCTTAACAGCATTTTTAGAATCCATATCTCCCAACAACTCACAAGCTCAGGAGCAAATCAAGAGTCTTATGAAAGCTCTGCAAATGTTCTACCAGTGAGCTACACCCCCTGCCCTAGAAATTTTATATCAGGTAATAGCTCTGAACAGATTACATTTGAGTACCAGATAACACTGTAGCCTCATTTCATTCAAAAGACTGATATGTTTGAGAGAAGATATTTAAACAGGACATATACAAAGAGTAGAAACTAAATCATTTTAGGATGTAGACACAGTTGAAGTTTGGTATTAATGGTATTAAGAAAAGAAAAAAAATGCAATAGTGTTAGGAAAACTGGATTAGGAAAAGCTACATCAACTTCCTGGTATAACTAGCAGAGCTGTTTCCACTGTCTGTTCCTGTGGTTCTGTCCACCTGGACCCTTCCTTGGCAACCCCGACCAAAGGGAAGTTCTCTGGCTTTGTCAGGCACGGATCACTCTTATTTTTCTAGATGTCTCTCATGATGCCTAAGATTATATGTCTAACCACAATGAAAAATCTGTTTTTCAAGATAAGCTTTTCAAACATTATTCATCAAAGTTTAAATGGATGGAGCCTTTTTCAATTGACAAATTAATAAGATTTTAAATCTTCTTGATTTTTCATCCTTACTTATTTAAAATCCACAATAAACAAGTCCTAGTAGGCTGAAGGGGGAACAGGGGAAGGCACTGATGGGATTAGTTAATAGGAAGAGTGATGTCTTGGATAAGGGACACAGTTTGGCTCATCTCGGCATCTTTATAAAAACCAGGCTTGCTGGGCACAGTAGCACATGCCTATAATCCCAGTGAGTCAGGAGGCTGAGGCAGGAGGATTGCAATTTCATAGCCAGCCTCAGCAATCTAAAAAGGCCCTAAGCAACTTAGCAAGACTTTGTCTCTAAATAAAATATTAAAAAGGTCTGAGGATGTTTCTTAGTGGTTAAGTGTCCCAGGGTTCAATCCCTCTTCCAAAAAAATAAGCCACACATTTGATCCCAGAGATTTAAGTATTAAGGACTAGTCAGGTGAAGAGGAAGAGATATAATTTAAGGGAAATAGTGATAAATATCATATTCTGATGTATTCTAGATCAGAAAATATTTGTTAGGTAAAATTCCAGTAGCAAATGCTAATATCATGCCATCATCTTTCAAAGGCTTCTAAAGGAGGACTCTTCTTCTGCAAGTATCTTCTCTCTGTTGGGATATAGGACTTTTGATGAAGAAATTTTGTGTCTATCCACTATGCAATAATATTTCTTGATTTACTTGCCTTTCTTTTTTTTTAAGCAAATTTGAGTTGATCTGTATTTTTCTGAATGCAATTTTAATCCTAAGGTAAAATGCTCATTTTTAAAACTGTGAAGTACTGTAAAGGTGCAGCTTCTGACCCCTGGCTTTGTGGACATCTGAGAAGTTCAAGGGTAACTATAAGATTTCTGTGAATGTATGTGCTGTGTACCTGCCAACTACTAGGAGCCCTAATTTACCACAGTCCTGAAGAGGTTCCTGACCCCAGTCAGTTCAGAATCCTGATAGTTAGGAATGCTTTAAAAATATTCAGTTGGGCTGGGGTTGTGGCTCAGTGGTAGAGTGCTTGCCTAGCATGCACGAGGCACTGGGTTTGATCCTTAGCAAACATAAATGTAGAATAAAAGATATTGTGTCCACCTTAAAAAAAAATTTTAAAAAATTAAAAAAAAATATTTAGCTATTCAGTTGAATGGTTAAAAAAGTGTATTTTTTTAAAAAAAATGAGGAAAACTGGGGATATAGCTCAGTGGTAGAGCACTTTTCTAGCATGAGTGAGGCCCTGAATTCAATCCTCAAGACCCCACAAAAAATAAATGAGGACCACCTTATTCAGCAGATATGCTTATAATGGATTTTGATAAAGCAAAATATATTGAAATATATTGCCAGGCATCATTTCCCCCTTACCTTGACAGTACTTTTATTCTTTCTTTGTTGGAAATACCAAGCAGTCTATCCATGATAACTGCCCCCCAAGTGGGGCTCTAATTCTTCCCTTTTGTTAAAACAAAATGACCAAGTTTGACCTATTTCAAATAAAAATGTCATTCATATGTCTGTTGGGGCTTTTTTTTTTTCCCTTGGGTGACATAAGCCCACAGGACTTTTAAACCTTATTCCAACTCCTCCCGAATGTCTCATTATGCCTAATTATGCTCATCAGTCCCAGCAGCCTTTAGGACCATGGTAGTGACGGGACTGACCCCAGGGGCTGGTCTCACCCCCTGGTACCTGTGAACAGCTTGCCTCCTGTTCAGTTAGGTGTTTTAGCAGCTGTGTTTGTTCTAACTAGGAGAATATATGACAAGGGAACAGAAATTCTAGCCAGAAAGACTTCACTCTCCCTCTGTATTAATTTTCTCAGTTCACATGTTCTTTACATGTCTTGTTAAAAATTTCACTTTTATTTTCAAATTTGAACTTCTAAGAAATAGAGCCTGGCATCTGTCGATTCCCATGATCCTATCTTCTAACTTACTGTACCCTCAGTGTGCAGTTCTGTCGTCCTAAACCTTCCGGCATTGGCCTCCTTCCTGTTGGGGACTTGACTCTATGGAGTTCTCCACAGGAGTGTCACCAAGTATCCTGAGCTTCCCTTGGCATTTCACTTGAGGTATCTCATTTGCTGTTTCCTCTAGAAAGGAAACAGCAGTATCCCTATCTTGTAGAATAAATGTGTAGAAACTAAGGAATTATAGAAAATCCTCCATATGCTTCCATTTTAGAATGTTTTGGTGCTCACAGAAATATATCTCCAAGTTCCTTTCCTTTACCTTTCCTGACATCTAGAATGCCAAGCTTGAACCATTAATCAGCAAAGAACTTAGAATGCAATCTACTGTTTTTCCATTGGGTCAATAAAAACCACCAGTTTATAACTGCCCAAATGATTTAAATTGTCCAAGTTCCATTGGGAACTTCTTTGGTAAGTACTGTGAGCCACATAATTCTATTTCTTAGGGATAAAACCTTTGGTATCTGTTGAAAAGCATATTGGGCCTTGAGAAATCTTATTTCCACGATTTCTGAAACTACATCTGAGCTCTCATACTGAGGGTTGTTGGGTCAGGGGAGATAAATGAAAAGGGGGGAAAGAGCCATCCTGTCACCTGAGGAAATTGTTAGAGTATAAGGACTTAGTGAATTCCTTAGAATGTTGAAGGAGCTGCCCGTGTCTATCACCAGCCTCAGAGGGCCAGCTGGGGTCCCCTGAGTTCTCCGCATGCCCCTCCACCACCTTCTGCACCCCACTCAGCTAGAGGTGTATTCGTGTCTCCCCAGCAAGCTCCAGGTTCTGACCTCCAAAGGCCCCCCAGATTGATGTGAATGAGAATAAGGACAGATAGAGGTATGATTTGCCTCTGCCCCCTCTCCTTTTCTCATCTTTAATTTGTCCTTCTTTTGGTCTATTTTCTGTAGTTATTTATATAAAGGAAAGAGGTTGTGGAGGCTGAATGTCCAAGACCTAGCTGTGTCTGGCAAGGGCTTCACACAACATGGCAGAAGTTGGAAGGGGACTCAGGACTGTGTGGAAGAGGCAAAGCAGTAGGGGCAGCCTTGCTTTATAGCCACCACACTTAGGGTAACTAATCCAGTCCCAAGAGAGGATGCAGGGAGAAAGACATTAATTCCTCTTAAGACCTAATTTCTCCTTAAAGGCCCACCTCCCAATACTGCCACATGGCAACCAAATTACAGAGTTTCAGAGAGGATAGACCATATTCAAACCATAGCAGTTTTTCTTTTCAAAGATATATTGGGGACTAGGAGTGCAGCTCAGTGGTAGAACTCATGCTTAACATTCCCACAGCCCTGGGTTCAGTCCCAGCATCAAGTAAATAAGTAATAAATAAAAGGTATTATTGGTTAACTCTGCCAACCTGCACACTAGTCAAGATCAAGATCTAGTATAACTAACTAATCAGTGCTTTTGAGCTCTGTTGGACATCTCGTAGGTGCCTCTGTTTCTTTGAAATGAGGGGAAATTTCTTTTTTTTTCTTTTTTTTTTTTATTGGTTGTTAAAACATTACAAAGCTCATGATATATCATCTTTCATACATGTGACTCAATTGGGTTATGAACTCCCATTTTTACCCCAAATACAAATTGCAGAATCACATCGGTTACACACTCACATATTTACATAATGGCATATTAGTGACTGATGTATTCTGCTACCTTTCCTTTCCCCTATTATCCCCCCTCCCCTCCCCTCCCATCATCCCTCTCTACCTCATCTGCTGTTGTTTAATTCTCTCCCTTGTTTCCCCCCCCCCCTTTTCCCCTCACAACCTCTTATATGTAATTTTGTGTAACATTGAGGGTCTCCTACCATTTCCATATGCTTTCCCTTCTCTCTCCCTTTCTCTCCCCCCACTCGTCTTTGTTTAATGTTAATCTTTTCCTCATGCTTTTCCTCCCTGTTCTGTTCTTAGTTACTCTCCTTATATCAAAGAAGACATTTGGCATTTGTTTTTTAAGGATTGGCTAGCTTCGCTTAGCATAATCTGCTCTAATGCCATCCATTTCCCTGCAAATTCTATGATTTTGTCATTTTTTATTGCTGCGTAGTACTCCATTGTGTATAGATGCCACATTTTTTTTTATCCATTCATCTATTGAAGGGCATCTAGGTTGGTTCCACAGTCTAGCTATTGTGAATTGTGCCGCTATGATCATTGATGTGGCAGTATCCCTATAGTACGCTCTTTTAAGATCCTCAGGGAATAGTCCGAGGAGGGCGATAGCTGGGTCAAATGGTGGATCCATTCCCAGCTTTCCCAGGTATCTCCATACTGCTTTCCAGATTGGCCTTACCAATTTGCAGTCCCACCAGCAGTGTAAAAGAGTACACTTTTCCCCACATCCTTGCCAGCACTTGTTGTTGTTTGACTTCATAATGGCTGCCAATCTTACTGGAGTGAGATGGTATCTTAGGGTGGTTTTGATTTGCATTTCTCTGACTGCTAGAGATGGTGAGCATTTTTTCACGTACTTGTTGATTGACTGTATGTCCTCCTCTGTGAAGTGTCTGTTCAGGTCCTTGGCCCATTTGTTGATTGGGTTATTTGTTATCTTATTGTTTAATTTTTTGAGTTCTTTGTATATTCTGGATATTAGGGCTCTATCTGAAGTGTGAGGGGTAAAAATTTGTTCCCAGGATGTAGGCTCTCTGTTTCCCTCTCTTATTGTTTCTCTTGCTGAGAAAAAACTTTTTAGTTTAAGCAAGTCCCATTTATTTATTCTTGTTATTAACTCTTGGGCTAAATTTCTAAAGAGAAAAAAACAGAAACAACACCATATTAGGGACACACGCTTTCTTGTCCCATGTTTGACCCAGTCCTTACTTTTATGAGCCTGAAAAACTTGTTCTGACCAAGCAGGGCTCACAGGCCAGAATTCCCTGCTGAAAAAGTGTGGGCTGCGGCAAGAGGAGCAGACATTTCCCTGGGCAGCGTGGCAAACACATGTCATGTTGGCCCTGGGCCATGCCTTGGGGTTCATAGGCTAATGCAGTGCCACTCACTGGCTCCACAGCCTCAGACTAAGCAGATGCCCACGCTCTCCACATTGCAGCCTTGCAAATAGCACTTGGACCTGGCGGATGTTAAAAGCACTGACAGTTGTTTGAATTGCACGGGCAGGAATTTATGTCATGTGTAGGCCCAGACGTTCAGCCCTCTCCAGTACATGGCAGTCTGCAGTGAGTTGGAGGGCCGGGAGATTGCAGGGGGGGAGAACACATTTAGAAAGATCCCCCGCCCTCCTCAGCTTGTTGAACATCAAGTAGGAAATCTAAAGGGACAGGAATCATGAGTTTAACTTATAGTGTGTGTCATTTTGAAGTTATTCATCATTAGTACTCTGTAGGCTAGGGCTGGGTCCAAGTACCATGTGGGCTCAATTGAAGCACAGTTTCTTCCATATTATTTTGGTTACTCTGTAGTCTTTGGAAGTCCATGATAATGACCTTGCCAGCACATCTAGAAGCAAAATTTCAGGGGTTTGGAATGGAAGAATTCTTTCAAGGCCATCATGGTAGGGGTGGGGAGAATATTATAAGAAAGCCAGAATACCGTGCTATTCCTGAAAGAGTAAAGCGAACCGTTTCTGATCAGCTGATGCACTAATGGAGTGAGAAAAGCTGTCCATGGGGGGACAGGGTTTGGAATCACACCTCCTGCTCCAATAAGATGCAGTGGGGGGGCTGGGGATGTGGCTCAAGCGGTAGCGCGCTCGCCTGGCATGCGTGCGGCCCGGGTTCGATCCTCAGCACCACGTACAAACAAAGATGTTGTGTCAGCCGAGAACTAAAAAATAAATATTAAAAAATTCTCTCTCTCTCTCTCTCTCTCCCCCCACTCTCTCTTTAAAAAAAAAAAAAAAAAAAAAAAAAAAAAAGATGCAGTGGGACCTCATTCCACAAAGCCCTTTTCCCATGTGTGCAAATGTGCCCTCTCTGTCGAGACAGGAATAACAATATCTGCTTTCTTAGAGATTCTTGCACAGATCAGCAGAGTGTAAGGTGGACTATAAAGTCATTCCAGATTCCTCAATTTGTTTTTCTCTGAATCAGTTCCATACTCCTCAAACCAGCCACCAGGGAAACCACACTATTATTTAGATGGTATTGTCACTGCTCCAAACATTTGGCAGCTTCATTTTGAGAAGGTCCTCAAAAATCATACCCCGTTATTTTTAAGAACCTCAATTTGTGAGGATGAATTTGATGATTTTTATTTCTCTTAAATCATTTGGAATCTAACGCGGTTAACAAGGTGTCTAGTCAAGATAAATAATTACTGGTCTGAGTCAAAGGTGAGGTTGGAGACAGAAGCTGATTCAGTTTAAAGGAGAGCATCAGTGAAGGATGTTTCCTTCTTAAGGGAGTGTTTCCTTCTTAATGTGGTTATTAAAGTACTGACATTCTTACTTTTTTGAAAGTCTCGTTTATTGATGTTTTGAGACCTTTGAAAGCTCCAGTGCAGAATGCCAGATACTAATTATTTCTTTCAGTGATTTGAGTTTGTGAGATTCTATTTCCATACTAGAATAAAACTGACTCATCCAAAATAATTGGAAAAGAGATGAATTTTAGTCATCATCTAGTAGGAAATGCAGATTAAAACATTTAATGGAATTTAGATATTGTGTCCAAGTTCATGAACTTGCCCTTGTAGCCTGCAGAGTGCTCCCAACATTGTAGAATATAAGACTAAACGGGATCTTGAGCTATGTGAGACCTGCCTTTTCTACCTGTTTCATTGAATGAGATCTGCTGCCACATAGCAGAAACAAAGAAAATAAAAGGGAAGAAAAAGAAAACAAAGGGAGAGATTTGGGGACAGGGATAGGTCCAAAGTTTGAAGTCCTTCCTCTTTCAGGGAGTTCTTTGCTTTATGTCCTACTTTCCATTATTTGACTGGATGAATAGAAAGTATAGAGTATGATTATGGACAGATTTTTTAGATATAATTTTGTGTGTGTGTGTGTGTGTGTGTGTGTGTGTGTGTGTGTGTGCTGGAAATTGAACCCAAGGCCTCCTGCTGGCTAGCAGCACACTCTGCGGAGCTACATCCCCAGCTGTGAATTCTTGTTTAACACTGAATTTGTTTTCTCATTTGTTAACAAAACTTATCACAGAATATATTTTATCCCATTTCCTACTCAGATATTTTACAGAATCAGGAAAGTTAGCAGCAGAAGGGCCTTTAGAGATTTTCTTGTCCAGTTTCTGATAAGACAAATCAGGATAGGAAGCAGCATCCTTGAATGGAGATAATAGACTAGAGCTTGTGCCGCTTGACAGTGTCACTGTTTATGCGGTGCCCATTAGGCTGGGCCCAGAGAAACTGAGGTCTAGTCTTTTTTTTTCTTAATTTTAAATTGTTTGAGCATCAGCTCCAATAAATTTAATGATCACTGCCTTTTTGCCTTTTATCTGTCCCATGTTTGTTCAACTTAGATGCCTAAGACTAACTCAGTTATTTTAATACAGTTAGCTGAAACAGCCTCATGTTCATGAATGTTTCTTTTCCGATATTACAGTATCTAAGCTGCTTTATGGCAAGTCGCATCATAGTTGAGGTAAAGTAGGTCAGATAACGATCTCAGTTAATTAGATTCTTTTTTTGTATATATCTTTCCCTTGAGAAAAGTTGCAATAATAATTTTTTAAGTGGGGTTTATAGAAAATAGTTTTTTGTATTAAGATGCATTGGAAAAAAACAAGTTCATTTGGAGTAAAAAAGAACAGGGCTTAGAATACAGGAAGAGAAACAATTATAAACATCATAATTTATCTTTGAAATGCATGATATTAAGATATTTTCAGTGTTTTTTACCTTGATGTTTTTAAACACATTTCTGCAATATTTTTTTGCATAGAACTATTTTTCCTGATTTAGTGTTATTTCATCATATGTCCAGAATGGGCCACTAGAAGACATTTTTCTCTGAGGATGGTGACTTTTTTTTTTTTTTAATCTGTTTCTTGCTCTCAGCCCAAGGTCAAGGAAAATGCAGAGATATTCCTTTGCTGAAATGATGGTGCATCTTTAGGACCATCTTGGAAAAGAGACTTTCCTACATTTTCAGAGTTTGGTGCTGAATTCTTGGCATGTTTTCCTCCTAGATTGGCACTGTTGAAGAAGAGTGGTGAGGAAGACTGGAAGAGCAGAATTAACAGAAAGCAGGATTATGGCAAAGCATCTGCCAATGACAGCCTGCACATCCAGGAAGTGGAACAGTCGATGAAGAAGAAGGTAAGGCTTCCAAGTTAGGAGAAAGCGTCTTCGCTAACATCACGCTTGCAAGTGCGTCAGGTGGAACAGCATGTGGAGCTGCACTGATTCCTGCTCTGTGGAACGTGAGCATTTTCTTGCCTTTATGGTGCACGCTCCATCTGTCACCAAGCTGCTAACATTGATCAAAAGGTCAAGCCTTGAGATGTTATAGAATCAGTAACAGCACCACACATAGTACGTCAGCAAGCAAGTGCCTGAGTTTTAAAATATGTACACAGCTCAAACCTTGTTAAGTGAAATCTGGCTTTAGAATGTGATTAAGGCTTTCCAATGAAAAACTTTAATTCACCACTAACAGCTTGTAAGTTGCATATAAAAATATGGACTTGAATTTCCCATGCAGAGATTTAAGACCTACGTGTAAAAAATAAGGACATAATTGTGGCCTGCAAGTACATTCTTTATAATTTTAAACCTATTTCCTGATGAGGAGGTATGCCTTTTATTGAGAATGTTCAGCAATATATGTTACAAGCTTAAATAAAATCAAATCATGCATGGTGATCCATACTAGAAGCATTTCATATGCGAGGATATTGCTGGGTTGTTAGATTAGAAATGTAATGATGACCAGCCTTTGACCTCAGGCTTTCAAAGCTGATGGTGACTTCCCTGCTGGCTGACCCTACCATTCCAGTGTGCTTATTGCCTCTAGGGGAAATGATGCAGCTGAGTCACGCCCACTGGCCAAGTTCCAAGATTTAAAGTCTTCAAATAGAAAAGAGAAGAAAAAAAAATGTTCCACTTAGTCAATCATTTGAACCCCTTCTCTCTCTAAAACAAGCATCTGAAGCTGGGTGCAATGACCTTTAGTCCCAAGCTACTCAGGAGGTGAAGGTCAGAGGATCACTAGTCCAAGAATTCGAGACCTGCCTGAGCAACAAAGAGAGACCCTAATTCAAAAATAAAACTATGCATCTGTGGAGAAGAGAAAGTATGACTTGACCTTTATGTGTTATGAAACTTAACATAAAAATGAGAAGATCCAGAACATTAAGTCAGGGGCTCTGACAGACACTATTTTTATAGTACTTCTTTTTTCTTTGTTGTCTGTTATTTTTTGTACTGAAGATTGAATTCAGGAGTGCTCTACCACTGGACTACATCCCTAACCCATTTTATTTTTTACTTTGAGACAGCGTCTTGCTGAATTGCCAAGACTGGCCTAAAATTGGGGTTTTAGGTATGCACCACTGAACCTGGGTTATGTACAGAACTTCTGTGTCTACATAGGTGACACTGGAGTGGAAACTTGAATTCTTTTTTAACACATGGTGTTAAAGATAATGTCTGAAGATGTTTAATTCTCAGCCATATGTGAAGTTCTCAAGTATAACTGGACACTAAAAAGTATCTGAGTTCTCTAGCTGGAGACATACATGGTGTTAAAGATAATAACCAAAGACATTTAATTCTCAGCCACTTGTAAAGTTCTCCCTCTAATTAACTAGATATTTAAAAGCATACATATGAAATCTAGATTTCAAGGTAAAAGAAAACTTGATCCCTCAAATAATATATCCCCAGGGCCTACAAACTTTATTTTTAAAAAATCTTGGGGCCAGGGGTGAAGCTCAGTAACAGAGCACTTACCTACTATGCGCGAGGCCCTGGGTTCAATTCTCATCACCACAAAAACAAAGGACCTTAAAATCATTGGTTTAAAAATAACACACACTTGTAATCCCAGCAATTTGGGAGGCTGAGGCAGGAGGATGGCAAGTTTGAGGGCAGCCGTAGCCACTTGGTAAGACCCTGACTCAAAATAAAAAATTAAATTGATTGGGAAAGGGGGTGTAGCTCAGTGGGAAAGCACCCTGGGTTCAATTGCCAGTACGAAAATAAAAGAAAACAAGCTGGTGCTGTGGTATACACCTATAATTCCAGCTACTTAAGAGGCTGAGGCAAGGAGGATTGCAACTTTGGGGTTAGCCTGGGCCACTTAGTGAAATCCCATCTCAAAATTTAAAAAAAAAAAGAATTAAGAGCTGTAATTGCCACTCAGTGATAGAGTGCTTGCCTATCTTGTTCAAGGCCCTGAGCTTAATACCTAATACCACAAAAAATAAAAATCTAAAACTTTAAGGTGGACCTCATTAGAAAAGCTGTCAACTAATATGTGATATCACCAAGCAGTGTCAGATATCTTGTTCATCATTTTAAAACATGCAGAGAGTCCCCAACCCTTCCCTAGCAGATTGTCCCCTATAGCCAGGTGAATATAAAAATGAAGCTAAGAAGCAAAAGGTGAGATAGAGCCCTGTGGATGGTGAAGTGTGCTACAACCCCCTTAGGAGAGTGAGGGTGACCTTAGGCAGTAAGTACCAGAAGGGTGTGGGGAAAGGAAGAATCTGGACTGTCCAGACATGTAGCTAAGATTGCAAGAAGACAAGAGACGCCAGGTTGTTTGGGGAGTAGAAAACCCAGTGACACAAAGCACTGGGTCTTGAGCACCTCGTGGGCTTGAGTGTGACATGCTGCCAGGTTCATGGATGCCACCAATTCTCTAGCCACAGTGAATTTACTATTCCTACTCCTTCTCGGTGGCCTACTTCACTTTGGGCCCCAGACAATAAGCTCTTTGAAGTTAAACTAAGTCAATCTATTTTAGGCCTTTACTACACTCATTGGGAAATCTCAAGTTCTGTTGAGGTCAGGTTGTTTTCAGGTGGCCTCTGACAACCCCCTGGTTCATTCCATCCCAAGAGCTGGCTGTGCATTTCAGGCACACTTTGACAGCATGCAGATGTGGTAGGCCAGGTGCGTTAGACCTGGGCTATCATGAGATTCCCCACACACAGCTGAGGAGTGCTTGAGAAGTGCCACTGCTTGCCTGTCTAAGTGTGCCCTTGGAGAAAGAAAGACATGGATAACATGCACATGAAGATGGGGGCTTGCTGCATGGGGTAGATCTAGGCTCACCATGGAGAGCTGCTCAGCAGAGGGAGTATGGGAAATTTCCATCTTTACCACCCAGGGTAGAAAGGAGCCGGTCTTACAGTCAGCTCATCACTTACTTCCCAATTTCTGAGTTCATCAAACAGTGCATATCATGATTACCAAACATTTTAGAGCTTGTCATCCTTCTTTGTGCAACGAGTGTAGAATGTGGGAATGTAGAAGGGGAAGGACCTAGAGTTGAGGACGCTGTAAGTCACTCCATTGCTCCTGTGAAAATCCATGACACAGAGGTCCAAGGAAAATATCATGGGAGCCACACAGGTAATATAAATGTTTAAAAAACAAAATAGAAAAGGATGCTCGGACAATCTGTAATTGTTTTGTTTCTGCCAAGGGTGTGGTGCCAAAAGAAATTGAGGCATCTCGATTTGAAATCCTGTATAGTAATATTGTTTATATTTATGGACCTATTTTTGGTCCATAAATAGCTTTGGAAGAACTAGGAGTTTTCCTTTCTGTTCTGAAATTTCAGTCATCTCAGAGAACATGGAACTAAGCAACAGTTCCTTGCTTTCCACTTTTATTCCCCTCTAAATCAGGATTCATGACTTGGAGGTTAAGAGCACTAATTATTTACCTAGCTAGCTCTGTCATTTCTTATGAAAAGTCACTCTGGTTCCTGGTTTCTCTACCTCTCTCTCTTGCCACCCTTCTTTTTCTTTCTCCTACACTTGGTTTAGGCTAGGTTAGTACTAACCTGACTTACACATTTTTACTTCTTGTAGCATATAATTAGTTCTAATGATAGTAAAGCCATTTGGATTGTAAATTTGGCCAGGTCCACCCTGAATGGAATGTGTGCACTTGAGCATGGATTATGTCCAGTTTCCTCCAGAGTAACTCATTCCATCAGAGAGAGAGGGGAAAAAAAAGAAAGAAAGAAATGAGACAAAGTCGTAAAGAAGTGATTTGGCAGGAGTCTATTACAACTAAATTACAGTTCTTTATTTTCACCCAATAATTATTTTAAGTTCCAAACACATTTCAATCTATTCAACATTACAACATATGTATGATTCCCATGTCCTCTTGTTAAGATAATCATAAAAAAAAAAGATAATCATCCAGTGTATAAGACCTTTCCAGGAATTTAAAAAACCTTCACAGACTTGGACACTGAAAACCTGTACCTATTTCTGAGTCCCAGATGAGGACTGGCTATCTGGTACTACGCTATCTCTAAAACAAGTGCTTAAAAATTCAAGGGAGGTAAATCTGCCACATTTATATTCTAATTGCCTGCTATCTTCAAAATTCCAAACCACAATTGTCAGTTCAAAGAGCAGGGCTGAGAGAGAGTGCAAGGCCTTAAATTAAAGGCTGTCTTCCTGCCCTGCCCTCGGGGGGAATGAGTTCACTTGATGTTTCTGCCACTGGATTGTGAGCACGTGCTGCATGTGTCTAATTGAACCAGGGCACTGAATACTTGAAAATGATGGTGAGACCCTAACTAGACTCTTCTCTTCGGATCCTCTGCAATGTCTCCTGTTTGTTTTAACCTGTAGGAAGAAGGAGGATTTACAGATGATAATGACATTTCTAATCTGCTTTGGGTAAGCCTGATTCTAACACAGGTGTCCTTCTGTAACTGAACTCAGTGGGTTCCTTCCTTGGTGAGTGCAAAGCCAATATGCACAATCAGGAGATAAAAGACTAAGGAAAAGTGTATTACTCGCAGCCAGTAAGAAGGGTACTGGAGAGAATTCTCAAAAAGTGCCTCTCCCAACAAAGACACCAAGGGGCTCTTGCTGGGGAAATGCACATATTCATATAAGAAGGGCTAGTTATCCCACGTAGAGATGGGCACATTCCTGAGCATGCTCAGTTTGAAATCTTACATCATAGCGTGTTCAAAAAAAGGTGGACAAGGTTGCATCTGGGCAGGGAATTTAGTATTATAATGAGCAAAGTTTACTCTAGGTCATCAAAAAGAGGGAGTCAGAGTGACTCAGCCACTTTGTTTTCTCTGGAGGGCCTTAACTCTAAACAAAATGAAACAACTTTGAAGGAGCATTAAGTGTAATTTCAAGGGGCAGTCGCTTATGCACGCACTTGTGTGCTTGGAAATTGCTCCTAAAATTTCCTGCCCAATGCCCAATACCTCCTCTAGATGGGGGCCAGGGCTACACCTCCCTGCAAGTCTCCGTGCCCTCCCTGTTTGCTTTTCATATCTCCAGACAAGATGCAGCCTTTATCCAGCATGGAAAGAGGATTCCGTATTCTTACATTATTTTTTAATTGCATAACGAAAATACCTTAAAGAAGGTGATTTTTTTTTTTTTGGTTAAATGTTAAAACCATCGATGAAAATCCTGGTTCCCTCTCTGTCACTGAGTTTCTTACATAAATTGCAGGTAATCTTCCCATTAACTCCGCCAGTTACTGCACAAAACTGACTCAGGTATTCATACTCTGTGCTTGTGAGGATTTATTTTAGCATCCCATTTGAGAAAGGAACCCTCTTGAAAAGAGAACTGAAATTGCAATGAGTAAATTAACTTTCTGTTAGAAAATTTATTGTTTTTGTCTCTCCCCCCAACCCTCCCCTCCCTTCCCTGCTCTGATAAATCTTCTCTTTTCACCTCTAATCCTCTTGCTTTGCTCTATAGGAACCTGTATATGCTTCTACTTATTCTCCTGCTATACCTGCTGCCCGTAAATACCTGTCTTTTGTATCTATTAATCAGGTGAGGAAACGCTACTCATGTTAAGCCTCATTGCAATTTCTGAGCAGTAGGGAAGTACTTTTTGGTTTCAGTTGGGGAAGTAACTCATTGGCTTCATGAGTGTGTGTGTGTGTGTGTGTGTGTGTGCGCACATGCGTGCATGCACATGTGTGTTTGTGTATAAGGGAGTCTTGTGATGGTGTGCCAGTCTGTTTGTATGTCTGATAGTGTGTGTTTAATCAGTTCCTATATTTAGGGTTAGTCAACATGTTACAGAGATGAGGACTTTGGAGAAACTGAGGCAGTGCAAGGCTCCCCTTCAAACCTTGATCCTTGTGATCAAGTCAGAAGGATTTCAGACAGGTCGCTCAGAGTAACAGGAATAAGTTTATTGAAGGGATTGGAAAAGGGAAAGGGGACATTCTCAAGGGAGAGATTGGGTCCTCTCAGAGATGAAAGACAATGTACCTCTCTTGCACTCCAATTTTATTGGGGATACCAGAGAAGTTTCCAGAGAGTCCCACCCAGGTCCACCTCTTGACTGGCAGCAGCATGATGTCAGACTGTTAAGTCCTCACTGCCATGACAACTCTAGGTCACCATGGCCCATAATGACTGGTTCTAATTCGATTCTTAACCATACAGTCTCACAGATTTTATGGTTAGGAGAATTATCCTTATTTCCCAGAGTTTCAGGATCTGGTCTCTCAAAAAGGGTCACAAAAGTCTCCCCCTTCAGGGTAACTTGAGTTCCTCTTATCAACATTATTTCAGGCCTGCATTTCTCCTGCAGATAACAGGTAGTTTGCTGAAGAGTGTGATATATCCTGTCCACTTAGGCCGGGCAGAGCTGCAGGTAAATTGCTTCTTGGAAAAGAAAACATGTGGGAGTCAGCTCAGTGGGCCCATTCTATAGAATCATTCCCACCATTCACATATGTCTGTCCCCTTCCACACAGTGCAACACCTTTAGCTCTGATTTTTTAGGTAGACCTGACAGTATGAACTAACCTTGCCTTTATGAAACTGATTTAAGGAAAAAATTCCTCTTTACTTGTCCAAGCTGTGAATCCCAAGTGAAGTCAGGAGCCCATGGCCTGCACCAGGGTATTCATTGCCCTAGCTAGGTTAGGATGCCATCTTGCTTAGCTTAGAAGTATATGTGGATATGGTGGAGGCCATTCATGTGTGGAACAGGGAGGAAGATACAGCGAGAAAGAGGCGGTCTGAGGTGAGCTGCTTACATTGGTCCTGTTAAAATGAGAAACTATAGACCCCCCTGCATCCTTCCCTCTATCTTTACTGTATCTTGACTGAACCCCACCCCCAAAGGGAGACCTGGCCAGGCTCAGTGATGTGTGAACATTTTTAAAGCTAAGAATGTTCACACTGGTTTGTTGTTCCCTCAGAATGTCCCTGGTGTCATGATGGCTGTGTTAAGCGGCCACATCCATATTTCCATGACTCCCAGGTTCTCATCTCCCTCCATTGTGGGAGCTGGACCAGGGCCTTCCCTCTAGAGCTCAGTCCCCTCATCAGGACTGGGACTTTATTACCAGGTTGCCTCTAAGTAGCCGTGTCCTGACTTCACCGCTGCTTCAGGGCCAGCAACCATGGGACGAGAGGCTCAGGATTTCACCTGTGAAGCTGACTGAGAGAAAAGTAATCATCTTTTTTTTTCTCCCTCTCCATGTTAAACTTTAGGATAAGTTTGTCAATATCCACAAAATGTCTTCCTGGGATTTTGATTAGGATTACAGTGAATTTATAGATAGAGTAAGAACCAACATCTTGAAAAAAATAGTCTTCCTGTTCATGAACATATAATATCCATCCATATGTTTTTAATTTTTAAAAAAATAACAATTGCCACAGGCACTTTAGGTTTTTATTAATTCAAAAATTTAAAAATTAATTCTATATCTTTATTTCTTAGCAATTTTCCCAGGTATGTATAAATGTGTTTATACCAGTTTTTTGTAGCACTAGCTTATCCCCCCTTTACTTGTCCAAGCTGTGAATCCCAAGTGAGGTCAGTAGCCCATGGCCTGCACCAGGGTATTCATTGCCCTAGCTAGGTTAGGATGCCATCTATTATCAGAGTTCAGATCTTCTCCTTTTCTTTCCTCCAGCCATGCTGGTGCCTAAATATTGAATGATACAAGGATTCAAAGAAGAAAATGGAGCATTAAGCACTACACAACCTCTATCTGAAATATTTATTTATTTATCTCTCTGGCAGGTGACAACATGCATTCTCTCCTTCCTCAAGTGTCTCAAGGATGTACCAGAACAAGATTTTGCTTTCTTTCAGTCCTTTTGTTTTAAGAGATAGTAGATAGTGACTAGATTGGATTATGATTCCTTCGAGGTCTGAGCATAGGACTTTGAGTCTTTCTTCATCTTTCATTCAGGTCACTTGAAGCTGCGTGAAGTGACAATGGCCTGAAATCTCTCTTGAGGAGGCAAAGCTAAATTTCTTTAAGAGTGCACAGAGTTTTGTCAGTTGACCTTATTTCTATTACTAAACATCTGCTCTTATAGTTGCTTCCAATGGTTGAGTTTACCTAGGTGTAAGACAAAAATTTTAAAGTCAGGGCTGGGGTAGCGCGATCGCCTGGCATGCGTGCGGCCCAGGTTCGGTCCTCAGCACCACATACAAACAAAGATGTTGTAAGATGTTGTGTCCGCTAAGAACTAAAAAATAAATATTAAAAAATTCTCTCTCTCTCTCTCTCTCTCTCTCTTTAAAAAAAAAAAATTTAAAGTCAGATCCCAACATTTTCTTTTCACAAAGCTTTCCATTTATGGAAGCATTTTACCCTTAAATCTCCCCAGCATCAGTACTAAATGTAGTAGTTCCAGTCTCTCACTGTGTCATGTCCCTGTGTAAAACGTACTAAGTGACAATTTCTGTGATTTATCAGTAGTTCAGAGACAAAAGCTAGCCTATCAGCAACCTGAAAGCATTCTTACTGATCGATCCTTTCCATGTTATCAAGCTGTCTCCCAAGCCTCTGTCCATGCCTACCCCTCCCATCCTCCCTCTCTGCCTCTCCCCACTAAATTTATGGAATAATAAATATCTCCAAGTTCTCTTATCCTCTCTCTTACTCTTCCAGGGATTCATAAACATTTATCAGCTAACCCCGGGACATGACATAGATTTCCAAACAAGGGAAAAAAAAAAAACTTAGAAGGGAAAAACAGGAAGATAATAAACTTATAAGCTAAAAATATAAAAAGTAAATGGACAAAGATTTATCTTATGTTTTCACATTTTGAGTTTTATAATTTAATAGCAACTTATGGCAAATTTTATTAGATTCTTTAGTTAAACACACAAACTGTATTCATTCATTACCTCCTGTATAGAGCCATATAAAATCAGATAGCAGAAGTTAGGGGGATCTAAAACAAAACCCCTAAGTAATAAAGTTAAGTAAAAACTTCTAGGGAAACAAAAACTTCTATGTGTATTATTATCATTTAGAAGGAGTGAAAAATATCCCCTCTTAGATCTGCAAACAAATGGAAGCTTCAAATTCTACTGTCATTGTATTGTCCCAGGGCTCTTGTCCACGAAGGAGTTCTTGGGGAATGAAACTGTTGGATGGGAGATACCTCTTTTCTGAGTCATTAACCACACCCCTGTACCTCACCCTGGATTTTCAAAACGTTTTAGTGAGTTCACCATCTAGTGATGTTGGGGCCTTTGGAAGAGCCAAATTTCTTGGCACTTTATATGTCTTTTGAAAATATTTTCAGCCAAGTGCTGTATTGGTTTGATTAAACTTCATTCCTGAAATTTCATTTTAAAAGAAAACTTTTTTTTTAATTATATGAGGTCACCCTGGCAAGTCAACCTCATAGTTTATTTAATAAGGATTTATGGTTCAAAGTATTTTTTTTTTTTTTTTTTTTTTTGGAATTAGGGCCTTCTTGTCAATCATGTGTGGAGAGTTAAGGAAAAGAGTTTTTTTGTTCGTGGTGACTTTTTATATTGGTAAGATTTTAAATTTAAAGGGAAGTTTCTATAGTAAGCAGATCATTCTCCTTTTTACCAGATCCACCAAATGTTGACATTCTCTCCCTCTTGACATTGCACCCTTTCCTTTCTTCTCTCTAGCTCTCCCCTCCCCCATCTCATGGATGTTTGTGTGTGTGTATGTGTGTGTATGTGTGTGTGTGTGTGTGTGTATTTTTTCCCCTTTCCAAACCATATGAGAGTAGTTTGGAGATACCATGATCTTCCAGCTACTTCAGTATGTATTTCCCACAGTCAAAGATATTTTCTCCCATAACCACTATACAGTGACACCATGGTCAAGAAGAGGAATTTAACATTTATATCATGTTTATCTAATTCACATTCATGTTCAAGTTGTGTCAATTCCTGCCACCAATAATATCCTTTTTAGCTACAACCCATATAGGATCCAATCCAGTCTTGCATTATACTTCATTGTCATATTTCAACCCCCAGGAAAAGGTTTTTAAGTAAATAACCTTAAATTACCAAGGATCTCAAAATGTCTTCTGGCTGGATGTCTACAGAAGGATCCTGTAAAAAGGTGACTCATAAATTAGATAACGGAGAAGTCCACGTTCAGGACTGGAACCAGCAGCTCTACAGACTGCTTCACTGCTGCTCGACAGGAAGAAAGGCCCCTTTCCTCTGTCACCCTCCATCCTGCCAGGCCATTTCTATTCTCACCCTCTCCTTCATGAATCTGAAAGTTATTTTTGGAGGGGTCATTAAGGATGCTAAATTCCCACGTGGGTGGAAAGTTAAGGAGGAAAAAAGTCCCTAAGCCCCTGGGATGCATTTCCCTGAGGGCTCTCTCTCAGTGCTGTCAGGGAGAGGCCCTATGAGACTTGGTCTATGGTGACTTCTTATCCAAGGAAAGCTCCTCGGGAAGGAAGAGAAGCTGGGGAAACTGGCAGAAGTTAAGAAGTGCTCAGTTGCAGTCTGAAAGCAAATGCCCCAGCAGAAATGGCAGCCCTCAGGTCTAAGAAGGTTGAAAGCAAACAGGCAAACCCAAGAGGCCATTGCCAGCTTTCTATCCTAGACCCTCTGAAATGTAAGAGCCATGTATCTTCAGAAACCACCCCTGAATTTTTATTTTTTTATTTTTTTAAGTACCAAAGATTGAACTCAGGGGAATTCCACCACTGAGCCACATCCCCAGCCCTATTTTGTATTTCATTTAGAGACAGGGTCTCACTGAGTTGCTTAGCACCTTGCTTTTGTTGAGGTTGGCTTTGAACTTGAGATCCTCCTGCCTCAACCTCCCAAGCTGCCCAAATTTTGAAAGCAGTGTTAAAATAGAAGTATTATATGTGTAGGCTGTGTCTCCAGGACAGGTCACCCTCAGTGTGGATATATTAGGACTTATAGCCACTTCCTTGGGCTGCCTGGATGCCTCCTGCCGAGTAACATCATTGATACAGAAGAAAGCATGAGAGCCCGGGAAGCCTCGTAGCACACCTGTTTCCTAATCAGCTTCCCCTGCTTTATAACTGACCTGGCTCCTTGTGAGCTTACATGGATCATCAGTTCTGGATCACGCCCTTTGTGGACACAGAGGGATAAAATCCACCAGTTAGCCCAAGTTTACCTAGCTGGGCAGAAGAGAGCAACTTTATCCAGTTTTTGGCCCGTCTTTTCACTCAGGAAATGATACAGGCTCAGGTTCACACCTCTATCGTTTCTCTCTCTTATTTTCCTTTCTATGCATTTTATGGACAGTGGGTCACAGAAAGTCCAGAAAGCCAGATGACGATCGAGGAGAGGAAGCACCTCATCTCTGTGCGGGAGGAGGCTTGGAAGACCAAGGGCAGGGGGGCCTCCAACGACTCCACCCAGTTCACTGTGGCCGGCAAAATGGTGAAGAAAGGTGAGAGCCTCTGTGTGTGTGTGTGTGTGTGTGTGCACATGCACACACGTGGGCACATTCACCAATGAAGGGTGATACGTGTAAAATATCAGTAAAAAAAAAAAATCTGTATTCTTTTTAAATGCTTAACCTTCCTAGCATTGTGTAAATGTCTCCTGGGTTGGTTTGATGGAATATTGCTACTGATGGCCTTTCTACAAAGTTTGTGTCATCTTCAATGAAAGAAGTATAATTCAGTTTTTCACTGTTTCAAAACTTACCCACTTGGAATTTGAGTGCAAGCATAGGTTTCAAAAGCAATTGCCAATCTGCTAACAAATCTTGGCCCATTCCCACAATTACTTTTAAATTGTTTCTGATTTCTTGTGCTCTGGCATCCGGTCACCACAAGTAAGTCCTTAGCAGTCAAGGAGTCTATCTCCTCTCCCTTTTAGGCTAATTCCTGGGTTCCTTTCCATCAAACCAGACTTTTCTGGCTTACAAAGTCAGTTTCCAGATATGCTTAATAGATGTCTAAAAGATGTCTTCATTTCCAACAAAAGGGGTTGGGGCATGGGGATTCCTTGCAGTCAGCTATTTCTCTGCAGCAGAGGAGTTACAACTGCTTTGAAACCTGTATCCAAAGACATGAAATTGACATGACATGTGGTTAGTAGAGTTGCTGGAGAGCTTTGAGACCCAATGGGAATGTTTGAGACTTTATTTTATATCCAGAGGGACATGTTTAAATTTTGATTTCCCTTCGTCACCTCTATGTACATACCATCAATTTACAAGCTATTTTCTCTGTTTTTTTTTTTTTTACTTTTACCGTTAACTCAGGGGCACTCAAACACTGAGCCATATTCCCAGCCCTATATTGTATTTTATTTAGAGATAGGTCTCACTGGGTTGCCCAGTGCCTCGCTGTTGCTGAGGCTGGCTTTGAACTCGGGATCCTCCTGCCTCAGCCTCCCTAGCTGCTGGGATTACAGGCATGCACCACCGTGCTCTGCAATTTCCAAGCTATTTTCTAAAAGAAAATTTCCTGAGTTAACGGTAAAAGTTTTAACATTCACTTAGTCTTAACATTAGTGTTTTGGGCAACTTTGTAGGTTTTGCTTTAGGGAGCCTCACTCTGATGAATAGAAATCCTGACTCACTGTAGACATAATAAATGTTTGCAGGAAAAAGGGAGCAAGGGAGGGAGCAATAACCCTGATTGTGATTAACTCGAATCTTAGTGAAGAGTCCTTTCTAGCAAATCTATTCTTACTTAATCCTAGAATTGTCAAAGGACAGCAGAAGATAATTCACTCTTGCAGAATGAGGTAGTATTTGACTATTTTTTCATCAAATCACAGGACTGTATAATCATGTTTAAACTAGTTTAGTATGAGCCCGTCCCTTCATTTAACAAAAGCAGACCCTTGGGTGACAAAAGCAAATCCTTGGGTGGTCATTGATTAAATATAACTGGAGCTGAGCACTTGAAACACAGCTCAAGTCTTCAACTTCTAGCTCCAGATCTATCCCAATGACTTTTTTCTTTGGTTTCTTTTTCCCTCTCCCATCTTAAGAATCATATTTTATTTTTAAGTAGGCTCTTCTTACCAAATAACTTTGTCCCTGTGTCCTTGTTTACATTGATGTCAGAGGAAATAGATTTACTCTTATGCAGGTTTGAATAATGAATAGTTCCTATTCCTCAGTAGATGAGTTTGCTTTCCCATTTTCCTGAATAAATCTGGGATATTTATTTAAAACACATATGATTTATTCAATAAATAATTCTTACATTTTTAATCTAATGAAATGAAAAAAAAAACTATATCCTATTTTTTTCTAATATTTGTTACAATCTACTGGTTTCACTTTAACCATTAGCTTTTTTTTTTTTTTTTTTGAGTTCCTGGGGACCAACGGCCTTGCATATGCAAGGCAAGATCTCTGAGCTATGTCCACAGCCCTCAACCATTATAATCACTAGCACTTTTTGATTTACAATAATATGGCATCCAGTTTACATCACTACAGAATAAAATATCCCCTTATAAGACAACCACAGAGACTTCCCAACTCATAAATTCTAATGGTTACCTGCAGCAACCAACCAGGAGTTACCACCTATCAGCAAGGCATGATCTCACCCTGGAAAGCTCTTGGTACCCCTTACCTCATTAGAACCTTCTCTCTTGTAGTAGAAGGTGAAAGAGAGTGGGGGAGAAAGGAAGGGAAAAGGTATTTAATGACTGAGGAGCAATATTGGCCAAATTATACTGTCATATTATTATATTGTCTGCATGTACAAACATGTAAGAGCAAATCCCATCATTGTGCACAACTATAATGAACCAATAAAAAATGGGTGGGGGGACCTTCTCCCTGTGCATAGCCCTAGGTTCCATGTAACAACCAGCTCCCCACAGGTTTCTGTAGTAGTCTAGGATCATCCTGGAAAAAGGGTACTCAACGCATGCCTTTGAATAAGAGATGTGAAAATGTTTACAAGGGTCACTTGCATATTGCTTCTAGAATTAATTAAAAAGATGTATGAGGGAGGGCTTCAGTTTGTTTTAACATTTTGTCATTTAAATATGTATACCCTGCTTCCTTAGAACAAAATCCTTATCCCTAGCTGGGAGAGCCTGGTAGCCCTTTTGTGCACTATCACCCAATGGGCAGCAGGGGGCGCCATAGCAGAGGGATTTGCCGGGTGCCCAGACAGTAGAAAGGGAAGATTTTGCAGGCTACTTTAGCTTTAGAGTTAATGACCTCTGCGCTAATGAATTCTTCTAACATCTTTTAAGCATCCTTTCAGTAGTTAATGATTTTATGCCCCATTTTGGCAGAAATTTTCAAGAAAGTCTACTTTCTCACTGATATAAACCCTTTGCAGGTCTGGCAATTTAAACAAATTTTTAAATATATGTACATATATTCACAAATATATATGCAAATATATGTATATATTGAGAAGTGTTTTCAGAATCTTACCTAAACTTAAGTCGTAAGCCACTTCTTGGTGTTTTGCCTTAAATTTTTTTATGCTATAGTACTTTTCCAGCTGACAGGAGGAAGGAGCAGAGTCATTCACTTGGCTTGTAAGTGATAGTGATTTACAGTATCCTCCGGTTGTTTTCAGGGGATGCATAAAGGGGCAAGGTCATCCAAAGATTTCACATTTGTTATGAAAGAATGCAAAGAACATTAACATCTCATTTTTTCCTTATAAATGCACTAATTACTTCCTTTCTCAGTTCTTTCTACTTAGGTTAGAAAAAAAAATACTTGTTTTCTCTTTATCAAGTTTTCTGGTTCCAGCAAGATATCTTCTTTGATGCTGAAATATGCGCTTTTAAAGATTACCCACCTGCTTCTCAATCAATAATATGAGAAAGCCCGTTTCCAGTTTCCAGCCACATCTGAGCTGGGAATGGCCCTCCAACATCAGTTTAAATGCATATTCTCCATGTCTTTCTTCTGACTGGTCAGCACTCTAGGTGACTGACTGTGGAATATCCACAAGGGTAGACTGTTCCTGCCTCCCCTCAGCCTGGAGGAAAACTCCAGTTCTGGAACCACTTGCTGGCTAGTGTGACACAATTTATTCTCAGTCTCCTCCGTGGAAGATAATGCAAATACGCTTTCTCTTCAGTGGCCCCTGTCACTCCAAAATGGCCTTCAGAACCCATAATTCCATTTGTTCAAGCATATTCTGCCTTGTACACTCTTTTATTCCATTTTTGGAGCATCAACATGTTTTGTTACATCTTCACTGTTCATTTTGAAATATCAGCTTGCTGGCTACTTAGTTCTTAGACGTAATAAAACTTTCTCTATAGTTGCATTTGTCCTGCATGGTCATGGTACCTGCCCAATGTATGTGCATGTATGTACACATGGATGCATGGACATGGATTATTATAAGTTGTACAATTTATGCTGGGACTCATGGAGATGCATCAGAGTCACAGAATTTAGAGAAGTAATTTTAAGAGGCTAAATCGCTCCATCGTTTGTTCTGCAGGTTTAGCATCACCTACGGCCATAACTCCAGTAGCGTCCCCTATTTGCAATAAATCAAGGGGTACTACACCAGTTACCAAACCCCAAGAAGGTAAGCCACCAAGGTGCCCAGTATGTCTTGAGTTTCTGATCAGAAGAGTCCTCATGACACTTTCTCACTGATGGTTTCTACGTGCTTAGATATTGAAGCCAGACCAGATATGCAGTTGGAATCGGACTTGAAGTTGGACAAGCTGGAAACCTTTCTAAGGCGGCTGAATAACAAAGGTACATACCAGAAAGAAGCCAGGAGGGAGTTGGGAGGCTTTGGCTTAAATCCTTATGGCACATCAAGATTTGTATTTTTAATGAGTTACTAAGAAAACCTTAACAACCTGCTTCTCTCTTAAAATCTCTAAATCTTAATTGTTTGCTTTTTCACCTCAAATAAATTGTCTTCTTTCTAGTATAGCTTTACTAATTCATATTGTAAGCATTATCCTTGTTATCATTCAAAAACTGAAATTTGATCAAGACCAATTCAATTATCAAGCTGTGATTCCCCTGATCATGTATTAAATTGGGGACACCCAATAATATATATTTTTTTTCTGAATCTAAACCTTGGCATGTATCCAGTCAGAATTGTGAACTCAGTAATTTTACTTTTAACCCTGAATTCATATTGATATACCTATGCAAAATCAACATGATCTTGGGTAAACTTTAAATTGCATATATTAATTTCTAATTGGTTAAAAGCTCATATTCTTTCCTATAATCACATAGGATTTCTAAAAGAAAATCCTAGCGAATAGATATTTAAATAAATATTTCAATACAAAAGTCAATGAAAGTCCCCAAAATATTTCAATACAAAAGTCAATGAAAGTCCCAAAAAAAGAATATGCAAAAATAGCCTTTTATCACTTGATAAAGCATGTCTAGTACTTGCAACTTATCAACTCCAGACACTGGGAGGCCAATGCTTTTGACAATACCTCTAAATTGAAAATATTACAAACAACCATTATAAACTGAAGACATGAAAGTTTAATACACTAACTAAACTGGCTAAGCAAGGAATCCTAACAGTGAAATGTTTATTGAATACAGGTAACAGTAATCTAGCCTGAGGATCAGCCAACGGTTATCATGGCCAAATCAAGCTCTTCACCTGTTTTATAAATAAAGTTTTATTGGAACATAGCTGTGTCCATTTGTGACCCTTATTGTCAGGAACCCCTTTGGCACTATCAGGGCAGAACTGAGTAGATGTAACATAGGCCATGTCAGTCCCCAGGCAAAGGCTAAAATATTTACCGCTGGTCCTTTGCAGAAAGTTTGCTGATCCCTAATATGGAATTAGGCTGGGGTTAGTTGTCCCACCAACAGAAAGAGGTCAGGATCAAAAATGCTCAATGGGCTTGTGTGCCACAAGTTCAGCGTCCTCCCTCCCACCGTTGCACTGTGCCAGTTTTGTGTAGGTGGGAAGTCCTTACGGGAGAAGTCAGGTAAGGGCCCAGCAAGCACTCTGAGGATCACATGCATCACTATCCTGTTTTCTCCACTCCTGGAACTTGGGGGAGGGAGATACTTTTTGAAATACTGTAAGTTTTTGACAGAGCAACTGTTTTGACCAAACTCATATTTTTTTATTTGCTTATTTATTGATAGTTGGTGGGATGCAGGAAACAATTCTCACCGTCACCCGTAAATCTGTTAAGGAGGTGATGAAGTTGGATGATGATGAAACCTTTGCCAAATTTTACCGCAGCGTGGATTGTAATACACCAAAAAGTCCTGTGGAGCTGCAGGAGGACTTTGATGTTATTTTTGATCCTTTTGCACCCAAGTGAGTTATTTCCATCTCCGTCTCCCCTCCACTGGCAAGGGTGTCCTTCCCCTGCGTCCACACAGTCCTTTCACAGGGGAATGTTGTCACCGTGTTATCTTCTCTGAAGTCATTACAGCCACAGTGTTTCTCTAGAGCCAGGTGCATCGTGCTGCTGGCCAATAAAACAGGCATGCTCTGGACCAGATGTGTGTTTGGACAGACCACGTGTACCACAGATGTTTGCCCTATGCCATTAGAGAGGTGTTAGTGGACTTTTTCACATCACTTCAATATTATTTTGCAGTTTTTTTTAGTTTAACATAACTTAGCAGATATTTCTATACCTCTCTCTGACATATTGGATACCTATTCATCACTGAAAAAAATATATGGATGATATGAGCTCAGATTAGCACAACTGACTAGAATATCAGAGGAAGAATATGACCTATCTTCCAATAATATATAAAACCAATAGATCTTAGGGTTTTCTCAGTGATCTACAAAGACATTTATTCACATGAAAACATGACTAAACCACCCAAGAAAAGTTATTTTGAAATTAGGATTCCATCAGTTGCAATTGCCAGAAAATCACCTAAGTCAAACTGACTTCAGCAAAAGAAAGGCGCAGAGAGATTTACTTTCACATACTGGAAAGTCCAGGCGTGACCTCAAGTTAGGAGGCCCCTCAGAACGCAGTCCCTCCCATAGCTGTTCTCCCCTGAGCTGTTCCACTCTTGGCAGAGCTGTAACCAGGGGATGGAAGGTGGCCACCCCAACCTCTGGATTTACAGGTCACTTCTTTGGCCAAGCCAACACAGGCAGCTTTTTTTCCCAGTTATTCCAGCAGAAGTTCCAGGTTTAGTTTTCATTGGATCCCAAGTCCATCCCTAATGCCTTCATCACAGCCAAAGAGATGCTGATTGGTCAGAGCCAGTTCTAGAGCTCCTCAGAGCCAGGGTAGGGGTGGGGTGAGGTGGTTGTCCCTAGGGAAAACCCAGATGCTGTTAGCAGAAGCCCGGAGCCCTGCTGGGCTGGGCTACAGTACAGCAACCCCATCACATCTCTTCTGGAAATCTGTGTAGTCACTAAGTTTTTCTGTACGCCACTCCTGATACATTTTTCTGCCTATGTTCAGTTTGTTTCTATTTGCACATTTATATTTCCTACCTTAAAAAATAAGCAGTTTGCCATTTTCCACCTTAAAATAATATTTGGGGTATTTGTATACATGGTTATCTAGCCATTTCTCAACCTTCACCCAATCGTCATTGTTTAAATTTTTATAAATAATAATTCAAACATTTCTATTTATACACAGAGAGGCAGTGGTATTATAAGAAAGAATTTCAGGCACAGGGACCCATGCACTTGGAATTTGAGTGTAGCGGTGAGACTCTGCTGGGACATCATATAACCAGACCACCACCTCCCAGGCTGGGCGTTAGCCCACAGATTTGTGAAAGTGCGGGGACATGCCACAGATGATTTTTCAGGCCTATTTTATTTCAATACACTTTTCGGAATTGGGGCTATTTTTCTCTAGGGGCCAGTGGCTCCCACAGAAGCTAGCCACAGAGGGATGGTGAGTGAACTGAAAAGCTATTTCGTAAAGAGAAACTTTAGTCTGGAGCAAAGAGGATTGAGTGGCCGAGTAATGGTTGTCTGCAGGTAATGCAAAGGTAGACTGGGGTGTATAATTCCGAAGAGAGAATCAGGACATGGGCATGAGAAGGAGAACCCTAACTTCAGAGCTGCCTAAGTGATGGAGTGAGCTGCCGGGTGAAGCCCGGGGAGACCCTGCAGGCGGAGACCAGGGCACATGAGTGGGCGGGGCTTCTGGGATTGTCCAGGATCTTGAACTCAGGCTGGACCCTCCCTCCCACCTCCAGGGTTCTGTGAATACACTTCAGGGGAGTGGTAGTGGGCGGAGCTGTAAGAGTATAATGGAAGATTTATAACTGTGGAGCCCATTGCTGCAGATACAAGAAACACAACCCGGTGTGGCCGATATTACAGACTAAGAAGCACCTGTCTTGGCCCCACAGGTTGACGTCCTCCGTGGCTGAGCACAAGCGTGCTGTGAGACCCAAACGCCGAGTCCAGGCTTCCAAGAACCCCCTGAAAATGCTGGCAGCGAGAGAGGATCTCCTGCAGGAGTACACTGAGCAGAGGCTGAACGTCGCCTTCATGGAGTCAAAGCGGATGAAAGTAGAAAAGAGTGGGTATTCGGCACCACCACACCGCTCTGGGACCTGGGTATCATTTAATCATTTCCTGTTTAAAGGTGCTCAAAGGACACCAATTAAGTATGGGTAATTCAAATTATTCTTGAGTTTTGTCTCAAGAAGTTGGAGGAAAAGGTTTTCTGCCCATTCATTTTCAGTCCCATAGAGAGAGTCTCAACACAATAATTCTCCACTTTTAAGGGCACACTATTTATTTGATCTCTTATGGAAAACATCCCAAGCTACTGTTTTTCCTAATTCCAGGTGTATATATATTATTAATTAACACACAAAGCAATGCTTTCCTTTTGTCCTTGACAGAGGCCTCTCAGGCTGCCGGAGTTGAGATAGGGGTTACTTGTGTGGGAGGGTCACCAGTGGAGAGTGAGCTGTGGACTGCTGCCTCCACTTCACACCAAGAGTCTCTGCTGTTATCTGCCCTTTAATGTGGGATTTCATTGCTCTGAATTAGTGACTTTCATGGTGAAGGTAATGGCAGGCATAATCTTGATATTTTGAATATTCTCACTACATTTTTTTATTTCCCTGTAGCATTCATGAACCAATTTCCTCAAGTTTTTCTTAGAAATATAGTATTTAGATGAAGTAGGTGAGCTTTTTCATTATAACACTAAGGAATTATGAAGTATCAAGTTATATTTCTTTAGCATTAGATCGTAATCCCAGTGAAATAATTTTCTGAATTTTGCTTCAGCATATGTTTTTTGTTTGTTTGTTTGGTTGGTTTTTATTACTGAGGATTGAACTCAGGGATGCTTAACCACTGAGCAACAATCCCCAGTCCTTTTCTGAATATTTTATTTAGAGACAGGGTCTCTCTGAGTTGCTTAGGGCCTCGATAAATTGCTGAGGCTGGCCTTGAACTCGCTTTCCTCCTGCCTCAGCCTGCCAAGCTGCTGGGATTACAGACGTGCACCATCACACCCAGCTCAGCATATACATTTTTTAAAGCACTGAATTGGAGAAATCAAGATTTATTTTCACATATTTTACATACTTTTTCTACTACCTCCATTTTTATGGGGCTCAGAGAATGGCTTTATGAAGACCATTTGATCCACACATATTTGTTGGTCTAGTGTCTTATAATTACAGAGCAGAGGACCTCAAGATCATCTAGTTGATCACTGCCTCCAGAGAAAGGTTAGAACCAAATGCTCCCTTATAGAGTGTTGACTTTTCTGCATATCAAGACATTCGGTGAAAGCCATCAACAGTCTTCCATGGGAATATATCCAGCATCTACCAGTTATTAGGAATTATAACAGCTTTCAATGGAACTGGAACAAATGAGTCCAGTACCTACTTTTATAACAAAGTGGCTGGTCCTCATTGCCACTCATTTGTCCCTCTGCATAGTGAGGTGTGACACTTGTCAATAAGCAGTTTATTCTTTTATACCATATACTTACATTCCATATTTAGTTCTTTACATAGTGATTGAGCATTGAATTGCATAGATAATCAAACTAGATCATGTGTCCCTGTCAGATCAATTTTCAAAGACAAAAGTAGTGAGTCAGGAATAATTTCTGATTTGTGAACATTGTCACCTTATCTGAACGTCTTGCTTCCCTCTGTGCTACTTTCCCTCTTTGACCCGCCCAGTGTCCTCCAACTCCAACTTCACCGAGGCTACTCTGGCCGGCTTAGCCAGTAAGGAGAACTTCAGCAGCGTCATCCTGCGGAACGTCAACCTGACGGAGCAGAATTCTAACAACAGCGCGGTGCCCTATAAGAAGCTGATGTTGTTACAGATCAAAGGTACCGCTGAGCCACACAGAGAAATGACATGCTTACCCACACTGACCAGTAGTAGTTTCTGTCTGGTCCTGACTGCTCCCTTTGTCACCTGTGAGGGGAAGGGCCTGTGTGTGTTCTGAGACTCTACCGTGGACCAAATCGTCTGCTACCTCCTCTCACTTCAGTGTCACAGAATCCCATAATGTGGGCATTCTCTGCCCATGCGGGCTGAGAGGCTGGTAACGTGCCGAAGGTCACAGCTGCTACTGAGTGGCAGAGCTGGAGTGGAATCAGTGGAGATTCTTCCTCTTCCTGCATCTCTTTGCTTTTGCTTCTGCTTTCTCTGGCACCCTGGCACCATGGCCCATGCCCTAATACTGCCATGTAGCCACCAGATGTGCCCTAAGTCCACCCTCTGTTCGGTTCTCCTCACTGAGCTAAGGACCCATGCAGGCCAGAAGGAGGAGAGCACATTACTGGGGCAGGAATCAAGTGAAAGCAGAAGCAAATGAGGCAGAGCTGATTTCACTCTCCTGCCTTTTTTATCCACAGCCAGTGAGAGACTCAGAAGACCACAGGGAAGCCCTGGGCTAGGAGGAGAGAGGCTTTGCTGCCTCCTCGTGGTAACCCCTGTAGATGGATCATTGCGAGAAGGATGGATGAGCTATCACCCACTTCCCCCTGGGTTTCCTATGTGCATCTGCAAAACCACCGTCCTTTTTAGTGTATTTAAAAAACTGGTGACCAGCTCCAATAGCCAGTCTCTGTTCCTGTGGTCTAACCTAGAGACCACGCCATGTGTGTGATTGTGGATAGCTTGAAATCAATCAGTCATGCAGGAAAAGGTGTTGAAAACTCCACAGGAAAGAGATCCTATAGAAAGGCCTGCCCTTCCCTGGAACACAGCCAGAGATACCAAGGGTAGGAGGTGGGCTGGGTGGAAAGCTCTAGGAGAGGGAAGAAGAGGAGAAGGAGCACATTTCCCAATTTCACTGGAGGAGGGGACCTTAATACGTCCGCGCACATACTATACAAAGACACGGACAAAGGTCCTAGGAAGCATGGTGACATTTGGGCAAGCTAGGGGAATTCATTGAATGCTGTCTTCCTGTTGGCCCTTTTAAATTCCTCTCCATGCCATCCAGGGCTAGAGGAGGTCATTTAGTAGACAAGACTTCTTACACTTGGTAGTTTGTGGCAGTGATGCTTGAGCCGTGGGTGTGTCCTCACCCCAGTCTGGTGTGGGCAAGCAGTGACTCTGGGCCTCCTGTCCAGGAAGAAGACACGTTCAGACAAGGCTGGTAGAACCTCGCGCCTCGTCACTCAACAGTGGGGACTGCTTCCTTCTGCTCTCTCCCCAGTTCTGCTTCCTATGGGTGGGAGAGTTTGCCAACGTCATCGAGAAGGCAAAGGTAGGTGTCTGCATGATAAAATGCTTTAGTTAACGCCTCCTTTACACACAGATGGAATGTTCTCCCACCCGCTAGATCCAAATGGTGGGTGTTTCATTTCAGTGAGAAGGGACAGGTAGTATGTCCTCTTGAGTGTCTCTCAAAGGAGCTTTTGTGAGGGCTGAAGTAGGATTTTCCAGAAGGACTGTGGCCTCTGCCTCCAGTTTTATTTATTTATTATGGATTTATTCCTATTCCTGTGTTTAAAAGGAACTAGTACCAATTTAAAGCCCTTTATCCCAGACCCTTAGGAAGTTCTGCCACAGGCCTTTTGAATGAGAATCTCAAAAACAATAAAGCCCAAGGAAAAGGTAGTTTTCAAAAGCATCCTGTTGAATATTAAAGATTGAGAACTCCTGCTGTGTGCCTCTCCATCCAGCCACAGATTTTTCTAGCCAGGTAATTATGTTTCTCTTTTTGTTTAGGCTTCAGAACTCGCAACTTTAATTCAGACAAAGAGGGAACTTGGTTGTAGAGCTACATACATCCAAACCTTAGAAGAAGGAATTAATACACACACTCACGCAGCCAAAGACTTCTGGAAGCTCCTAGGTGGCCAAACCAGTTACCAGTGTAAGAACGGACTGTATTTCAGAAATTGATAAAACTTGAATTTCCTTTTTTCTCCTGAGTTTATTCTTCTAAAGCAGCAACTTTTCAATGTAAAATATGGTGCTCTCCTATTGTTCCCACCCCAAAGGTGCCGGAGACCCTAAAGAAGATGAGCTGTATGAGACAGCCATTATAGAAACAAACTGTATTTACCGTTTGATGGATGACAAACTTGTTCCTGATGATAACTACTGGGGGAAGATCCCAAAGTGCTCCCTTCTTCAACAAAAAGAGGTACAGTCTTCAATAAGAGCACACCTAGGGCACTCTCCACAGGGCTGCCCCACAATAGAGTCAGGAAGTGCCCAGGAAAGGTTAGCTGGAGTTAGTGCCGGTTGTCAAACACAGCAGCTCTTTAGAGGATATTTATTTGGAATTTTAAACCATTACTGCCATCTGCAATACTAATACAGAATTCAGAATATTGTGCCAAAATGGCATGGATCATTGAAGGCTTTTATATTTTAGGCAAATGGAAGCATTGCTTAGCCCTGTCTCTTGAATTTTGTATAAAGATTAAATAAAACATTTTTTAGTCCTTAAGTTCCAGGAATAATATATTGATATATATTTAATTTGTGGATCTGCGAGGTAATGTGATTTTTCCCCACTCACACCAGTAAGTATTATTCATTACATACATTTCTAAAACCAATAAATATTCTAGGTATTGAGAAAAAAGCAGAAGATACAAAAGGACCTTTAATTTCATTGGGTTTCAGCAGCACATTAGAAAGATTAGAATCCAAAGCTGAGTTGAGTAGATGATATGTATGGGCATGAAAGTGGGAGTAAAACAAGTCACGGAAAAATAAAAAATGAGGAATAACATTTTAAAGAATCTGATCCTAGTTTAGAGTTTAAAGTAGAGTTTGGATGACTGGAAATGAAGGGAGAATCTTCTCAGAAGAAACAGTTGTACACAGTTACAGGCATGGAAAGGAGAAATGGCATAACATTTGTGTATTCGTTCAGCAAACACTCAGAGGAAGCCCCTACCGTAAATATGACATGATCTCTGCCCTTAAGGATGTTGGATTGTAGGTGAGAGAGAAGACTTCATTGGGTCATCAGTATCTGGCCTGAATGAAGCAAATGAGTGAACAAGGGAGGGAGGGAGAAACAAAGGGAGGGGGAGAAAGGAAAGAAGATAAAAGAGCATACTCAAATAACTCCTTTATGAATCGGACATCTTAAGTGGTTTGAGAGTTCAGAGGAGGAGTCATTAACTTGGGCATTTAGAACAACAGGAGGAAATTATACCCCCGCCACCGCCCTGCCAACCCCAGGGCCAGAGGCTGGCTTGGCAGGGCAGTGCCAGCTGGTCAGATCTTTTGACCTTGAGTTATATGGGTTGCCCGTTAGGCTTTATCATCACCCGTTTGACTCACTGTCTTCGGAGACCTGACTCAGCTGGAGCATATCCTTGAAGTGAACAAGTCCTTTTGTGCCATTTCCGCAGGTCCTGGTGTTTGACTTTGGTAGTGAAGTTTACGTGTGGCATGGGAAAGAAGTCACCTTAGCACAGCGCAAAATAGCATTTCAGCTGGCAAAGCACTTGTGGAATGGAACCTTCGACTATGAGAATTGTGACATCAATCCACTGGATCCTGGAGAATGCAATCCACTTATTCCCAGGTATTCCCGCGGTCCACGTGCAGCGTGTAGAGTGAGCAGAATCCCTGTGCAGGCTCAGTTCACGGTCACCTAGCTGTCATTCTTTTCATAAAGGTTTCAGTTCTCATGAGTGATTGCATGCCCTGGACTGTGAATATTCACAAAACAAACATTTATTTAGCTTTTACCTAACTAATAGAGAAATATAGATTTTAAGGAAGTTGTTTGTATTGCATTTAAGTTTTTGAAGTAGACAAATAGTTTTCCCCTGTAGCATTCCAGGTACTGTTACAGCAGACGAGTAGCAATTGTTTAAACAAATTTCCTGCTAATCTGAAAAGCTTCCCAGAATCTGCAATTCTGCCATAGATCTGAAGGTGCAAAGCTACTTGTTCCTTCTGATTCCTATCTTCTGAGCATAGTGTTTGAGTCCCAAGAGTTATTTGTCATTTTGCAGTATGTTTGTGCCTTTTGCCTTTTGGGGTGAAGAGAAGGACAAGAATATGGTATTGAAATAATAATTGTAATTTTAATATTCCCTGTAGAGCGTTAGACCTTTGAAAGTTGTTTTGGTAAATTCAGAGTATGCGCAAACTCTAAGAAATAACATCATGAAAAATAAGAATTCTTACATGCACAAGATTGGTTTTTTAAACTACCAGACCCCTAGAAAATGATTTAAAATATTTGTGCTACATAGTAATAAATTAGAAATGAATATGCCACCAAACAACATAGAATAATATATAAATTTCAACCTTCTTACCTTGTTTCATGCTTTAAAATTATTGATTTATTATCAGTTTCTTTCTATAATTAAACACTTTTAAATTATATGAATGTAGTAAAAATTTTTTAAGTCATTCTTTAGCAAATGGCCATTTAATATTAGTACTACAACAACCAGTGTTAAGAACTCAGATGAAGCCTATATTATTTTATCTAATTTTATTCTATCTTAAAGAAAAAATAATTATGAAGCATAGAATCTACATGATGGTCAATTTATATTTAAAAGTGCCATGTTCACAAATATGAACATGAATTACTCAGCATCTCATTCACTGGTTTCCAGCATCTCTGCAACAGAATCACTGAAAGAACTTTTTAAAAAAGCACATGCCAGGCCCAGTCCCTGAGAGGAGTCTTTAGCTCCTGAGGGATGGGGCTTCTGTGTCAGTATGGCTTAAAAGCTTCCCAGGGATTTTGAGGTACAGACAAGATTGCAAACCCAGCCCTGCTGTACAAACAAGGAGGCTAAAACCCTCCAAGTGTGATGTCTCAGCCCTGGGCAAACATGCAAGTCAGGAAGGAGGTAGAGAAACCCACTAGCCCCTGCTCTCACGTTTGCCCAGAGCTGTTAAGTGAAATCAGCCAGACTCAGAAAGTCAAGGGTCATGATTTCTCTCATATGTGGTAGCTAGAGAGAAAAAAGAGAGAAAGAAAAAAAAAAAAACACACACACACACACACAACAAAAAAGTCTCTTGAAAATGGAAGGGAGGCTAATAGATTAAAGGAAGGGAAGTGGCGGGCGGGGAGAGAGGGGAGTTATTGGGGAATGAAATTGACCAAATTACATTATGTGCATGTATGAATGTGCCACAGTGAATCCCACTATTATGTATAATTACAACGTACCAGTGAAAAAATTAAGGGACAAAATGGGAAATGTTGGAAACAGTGCACAGTAGGACACAGAAAATACAGCTGATTGGTTTGATGGGATAACAGCATCTTGGTCTCAATTCACAGTCAAAGGTTGGTTTGGAGGGAGAAGAAATACCTACCCATTCTTCTCTCTGCTGTACCCTATAAAGCATCTATTTGCTCCAAGCTCTGCCTTTTTCTAATTTACCTGTGTTCTCTGGTACAGTGTCAAATCCTAAAATCCCGAAAGTACACAAATCCTCCTGGGTGAGCTGTGCTCTTTCCTGTCCTTGTGTCTTTCCTGTCTGCCACTGATGTTCAGCTCCAGACACAAAGCCTTGCTAGGCACCAGGCTAAAATAATACCAGATCACCTATTTGGTAAAATGATTAAAAATGAATCATTCCTTCTATCTACCACTCATGTATTTTGATTTTGGTTTTCAGTAGCCATGTTTGCTTTCCTTTGTTTAGCATCGCTGAATCCGAGTTCTTTTCTTGTCCACTCCACCCTGCAGGAAAGGACAGGGGCGGCCTGATTGGGCAATATTTGGGAGACTTACTGAACACAATGAAACTATTTTGTTCAAAGAGAAATTTCTCGATTGGACTGAACTGAAGAGACCTACTGAGAAGTGCGCTGGGGATCTTGTCCAGCAGAAGGTATTCCAGGGATCAGTCCTCAAAGGGCTTAACTAGGGTCCTCACACAAGTGGCCTTGACACCAAAAGACTTTGCAGGGGCCACTAAGAGAACATCAAAATGATTTCTAGTTAAAGTCTGTTGTGATGGGTTCAGGTCTCCCAGAATCCTTCCCCTAAATGCAGCCAAAATTCCTGAAAATCATGGGAAAGCTGCACTTTCACATGGTCCCATTAGCAGTTGAAGTAGGGCCAGGGACCTACCCCAGTGGTCGAACTCTTGCCTAGCATTTGCAAGGTCTTGGGTTCCATCCCAGCACTGTTAAAAAAAAAAAATAGAGTTGCAACATCATTGAGTATGACTATAGGATCACAAGTAACTGGACAAACATTTTTATACCCCCATGTAGGAAGACCCTAGGACTGACATCAGGCCATATGATGTCACGCGGATGGTGGCAGTGCCCCAGATGACAGCCGGCACCATCCTGGACGGGGTGAACATTGGCCGTGGCTACGGCCTGGTGGAAGGGGACGACAGAAGGCACTTTGAGATTGCCAGCATCTCCGTGGATGTCTGGCATATCCTAGAATTCGACTACAGCAGGCTCCCCCGGCAGAGCATCGGGCAGTTCCATGAAGGTGACGCCTATGTGGTCAAGTGGAAGTACATGGTGAGCACCACAGGTTAGTGAGCGCCTCCGTTCCCTTCACAAAGAGAGGCAGGAGTCGCACTGTGTGGAGTGGGGCGCCCTGCACGCACCTGGGTGTCCTCAGCTGCTTCAGTGCACACAGGGATCCACTGATAGGCTTTAAGGACTTCCTGCCCCCACCCCCAGGGTCTTCTAGGAAAGTCATGACTTGCTTCCTTTACCACGTGGCTGTGTGCTGCTTAAGTACATTAAATAGATCACATCTGGGTGATGTAAATCGGAACCAAATGGTGATGTGCCATTGCTAGTGAATACACACATACAAGATTTATTTTTTAGAGTGTGGGGAGCACTGAGGTTATACCTGGCATGAGGCTCTGGGTTCCCATCCCCAGCACCACCAAAAAAAATGACAAGTTTCTTTTCCTCTGAGGCTTGGAACACTAAGAGTGCCATAGGGATCTGCTTGGAGCCCTAAGAGTGCCATAGGGATCTGCTATAAAGGCAGTCAGAGATCTTCATGGTCCCTGTAGCAATACATTCAGTTGGATGCTTTGCTCAGAGGGCATGGCCTGGGTGGGAGTGGGAGGTCCCGTGTCCTGTGTCTGTGGGGTGTATGAGGAGAGCTGAGAGCTGACTGCTTGGCCATTGATCTGTCAGCAGATAGAAAAAAAACAGCAAACCAAGACCTGGGCAGCCCACAGTGGGCATCACTGGCAGGTGGCAGTGAGCAGTAGGCAGGGCAGAGCAGGCTGTGGGCCTAGAGCTCCCCCCATGCCCTAGGCATGATGCTGGGGCCTACCCTGACCTCACAGCTGATTTCTCAGATGAGGAACAGGACAGCACCACCAGTAGAGAGCAGAGCTGGACACTGAAGTCCAGGCTGGGCTTTTTTCAAAGCCAAGTGGGGTGTGTCCCCACTCTCCCTGCAGGAGGGAGTCAGAGTCTGGGCCTTGGTCAGATATGAGGAGACAGGAGTTTGGCATAAGGAAGAACCAACGGACCTAGTCACCAGACCCTGAGAAGGCCGGGGTTGACCTAGCAGCAGAGCTGACTCAACACCCAATTGTGTTTTATGTTTAGTCCTTGACATTCAAACAGAACCAAACATCAAACGCTACTTGACAGTTACTCCTTTTCTTAGACTTCTGGGGCTTTCTAAACAGCCCTCTCCAGGCAGCTCTGGCTTTCCTTCCAGGCAGTAGTGGGGTGTTGAGCAAGAATCCCAATGGGAGAGGTGCTCCTCGTCTAACTCATTCCTTAGAGCTGTCTGAACTGTTCCTCTTTCCCAAGAAGGCTGCTTCATTGGAGGAGAGTCTACAGGCACCAGAATCATGTGGCCCGAGAACCAGAAGCTCCAGCCCTTGCTTCCCAGCTGTGCATGATAGGGAAAATGATGGAACCTGTCTGAGCCTTGATTTTCTCACCTGGGATTCGGAAATATGGAACTTAACTCACAGAACATTATAGTCTGATATCTGTGATGTTTAGCACCGTGCCTGACACATGTTCATACTGTAGGTACAGAGAACACGCATCACTTAGTTCCATTTAAACACAAAATAATATGCAGCTACCCAAAAAAAAAAAAGCAGTTCCCAAGGAGTCACTAAAGTGGACCTAAGCTCCTCAATGTAATGTGTAGGTGGCAGATTGAAATACTAATCTGTGCTGCTGATGGCAATGAAGACAATAGCAGGGACTTTAGTGTGTGCTAGAGGGGTGAGGTCTGCTAACCTGTAGAACTGTGGGACTGGAGCCTTTAAGAAACAAACTTTAAAGGCACCTGTAGGTACCAAAATGCAGGAAGGAAACTGCAAGTTTGATTATATGCAACAAAGGGAAAACACAATCTGATGTTTAGAACCTTAGCTGTTAGTTATGAGCAAGAAGTACTAGAAATTAATGCGAAAGCTATACTGAAGTGAATTAATTAAAAAGAAAATCAACCTAAGCTTTCCAAGACCTTCACAGATGATTTTCTTGGAGGCCCTTAGGAAATAATAATTTGACTTGACCCAGGCCATCTCTTTCTGTATTTCTTCTCAGTAAACCTAATGTGTGTCTCACAGCCAGCTCCCTAGCATCTTTATGAGCACAGCTGCAACTTTGAAAACCTCCAGCTACAGAGAATTAAGTTAGAGCAAGGAGCATCCAGACTCCCGAGCAACCCTCTGGGAGCAGAGAAGCACAGTCCAAAGGTATTGACAGTGGCTCTGTAGCCATCACAGAGGCACTGGCCGCAGGTGACTGCTATTCCAGCACGCCCATCATTCATACCCCACCAGGGCTGCTGCACCTGCAAACTAGGCTGAACTTGGGTTTGGGTGTTCTTCCAGGACAGGATGAGCAGAAAGCTATAAAGGCAGCACAGTCATCCCCTTGAAGGATGTTGGCCAGTGTGCATGGCCCCAAGTGAACACCTGCAGAGTAGGCTATAGGGAATGGCTCATGTCCCTGCAGGATCAGGAGACTGCTCGAGGAGCCCAGAAACACAGGATCGGGCTGCTCTAGAGAGTGATATAGATGAGTTTCTGTTCGTAAGTGGTTAATAAATGGGATTCTGGTGCAAGACTACTTGATCAGAGCAGTTAGTTCTTCACACCTCAGTTTTCTGCGATTCCCAAACACAGTTGCTAGCCACAAAATTGTTCTTGAAAGTGCTTTGATGATGTAATATAGCAACACTCTTTGGGGGGCGGGGGTACAGAGATTAAACCCAGGAGTGCCTAACCACTGAGCCACACCCTTACCCCTTTTATTGTTTATTTTGAGACAGGGTCTCACTAAGTTGCTTAGGGCCTCGCTACGTTGCTTAGGGCCTTGCTAAGTTGCTGAGGCTGTATTTGAATTTGTGATCCTCCTGCCTCAGCCTCCCAAGCTGCTGGGATAACATGCACATGCCAAGCTTCAACACTAAATGAGGCATCTGATCAAGCTGTTAAGATTATAATCCAGAGGCTCTTAATAATAGAAACTTAACCTTTACATTACTAACCTGTAAAATATATTACAAATTTATTTGTATAGAACTAAATTTGGGTATATTGAGGAAAATCAGTGCAATGTCGGTTTTATCAAATATCTTTAAGGAAATCCAGTTCTGTTTTAGGCATATGCACCTGTGTCTGTTTTAGAATACTAGGTTATTTCAGTGTGAATGTATATTTACACAATGAGTACTAACAGAGTCCAAGGTATATATAAACCATTATGGTCTGTTTAAGCATCTCTTTCCAGTTGACACAATGACTTTTCATTACTTTGAAAAATGAGATTACTAATGAAAGGCAAAGTTTTGTTGCTATCTAAATGAGCAGAAATTCCAACTGCATGGCTTCCAGATTAATTGTGGGTATTTATAAGCTATTCATTGATGATTCCTAATTCACATTGCCCACTTAAAACTACACAAACTTGATCAGTTGGGATCCAAAGGCGATGGTGCCAAAGGCTGTGTTTAGTCAAAATACTTTAAGAAATTATTACAATCATATATGAAACCTGCATAGAGGACTTTGCTAAACAAAGAGCCAAAAATCAGATAAATTTAGTCCTTGACCTCTAAAAACTTAAAAATTGCTAAAATCAAAAACAATTCTGATTTTATGTTGATGGGAATGGAACTTAGAAAAATTGAGGTAAATATAGAACTAAAGAATCCCATCATTATTGCTATTTTTTTTTTTTTTGTACTAGGAATTGAACTCAGGGGCACTCAACCACTGAGCCACATCCCCAACCCTATTTTGTATTTTATTTAGAGACAGAGTCTCACTGAGTTGCTCAGTACCTCACTGTTGCTGAGGCTGGCTTTGAACTCGTGATCCTCCTGCCTCAGCTTCCCAAGCTGCTGGGATTACAGGTGTGCTCCACTGCACCCAACTGTTATTGCTAATTTTTAATGTGTATTACCAGGAACTATGTTCTTCTATTGTTAGACAGTTGTCTGTTACTGTAACAAAATATCTGAGATAAATCAATGATAAAGAGGCAGGGTTTTTTATTAACAGTTTTGGAAGTTCCAGTCCATGATTCATTGGCCCTATTGCTTTGGGACCTGTGACAGACAGCACATCATGGCAGAGAGAGCATGGTAGACCAAAGCTGCTCATCTCTTAGCTGGGACACGGAAAGAGAGAAACAGAGAGAGAGAAGGGAAGAGAGAAGAAGGAAGGTGTGGGGTCCCACTGTCCCCTTTAAAATCATGCCACCAGTAACTGGAAGACCTCTCTCTAGGCCCTACTTTTCTTAAAGTCTCCACCACCTCCAGCACTAGGCTCGGGAGCAAGCCTGTGTGCCTTTGGGGAATATTCCATATGGATAGCAACCCCCAATTACTGGGAGCCACCCAGGCATGTGTGTCAATAACTAGGTCTCCTGACTTCACTCTGCCTAGAAAACTTTGCATCCAAGCTGGGCGTGGTGATGCACACCTGTAATCCCAGTGGCACAAGAGGCTGAGAAAGATGGATGGGGAGTTCAAAGCCAGCCTCAGCAAAAGTGAGGCATTAAGCAACTCAGTGAGACCCTGTTTCTAAATAAAATACAAAATAGGGATAGTGGTGTGGCTCAGTAGTTGAGTGTCCTGAGTTTAATCCTAGTACCAAAAACAAAAAAATCTGCATCCAGATCACTGTCCCTCTAGCCTCTGCTTATCCACCTTCCCCCAACAGGCAATCCTACTGTCTCCCACCCTGCTGGGTGTAGCATCCCCCTATTTTTCTCATACTATTTCTCACTGTCTAAAGTTGTTTTGCTCATTCACTTGCTTGTTAGAATGAACACAGGGAAATGTTTAGCTCATCATTATAGCCTCAGTATCTTAAAGAGTTCCTGGGACCCAGTAGGTGCTAAGTAAATAGAATCTGGAGTGAGATCTCTTCCTAACAGTTGAGATTTGTGGTTTGAAATGCTATTTTAAAATGACATTCAACCAGCTGACTCTGACTGCTCTTGAGGGCAGGGAGCTACATCTGTCTCCTCTGCTTCAGATTCTCACTGAGTGCCTACGAGGTGCCAGGGAGGCAGGACAGTCAGTGAGCCTGCATCCTGGCCAAGCCCTGGTGACAGACAGGAAATCCTTGATCATTTTGTGAGAGTCATAGATCAGCAATGCATCTCTTCCATTTCTGACAGAGTCATCTTTAAAAAAAATTTAAAAACTAGAATAGTTTTAACAGTCTAACTTTTTTTCTTTCCTTGATAGCTGGTCCAGCTGTTGTTTTCCATATCTCCACCAGCTGATTCTTGCCAAAGAGTGGCGGAATTTGGAAAACACGTGTGTGTCTGTGTGAGCCGATGGTCCCGCTCCGCCAGTCACTACTTCTCTCTGCCACACACTTGGAGGGATCTGCCACCTCCCTCTAGGATGACACATGTTTTCCTTTGGGTATCAAGAGGGCCCTTTGGAGCATCATTCTCATACTTGGAGGCTCTGGTTCACGAGCTGGGAGGAAGGTGGCCTCCCTCTCCTGCAGTATGATTGACATGACTCCAGTTGTGAGTGGCTTCTCCTCAGCCCAGGGGCCTCAGGCTTTCTTTACCTTACCTCCTTGCAGACCCTGGAGGATTAAGCCAGGTGTTCTCTCTTTGTGACTCAGCGGCTCACCTTGCCCTCTGCCATTCTGTGTGTTCGCAGTGGGAAGTCGACAAAAGGGAGAGCACTCGGCAAGAGTGACTGGCAAAGAGAAATGTGTGTATTTCTTCTGGCAAGGCCGGCATTCAACTGTGAGTGAGAAGGGAACCTCAGCTCTGATGACTGTGGAGCTGGACGAGGAAAGGGGGGCCCAGGTAAGTCCCAAGGAGCTGCTACTTGGGGACTCCAGATGATACTTTCTCCTGAGGACCTGATTCTAATGAACAAAGACAGCATCATGCAGGGCACTTTTAATCCAGGTCCTGTTCTGTAGATTTTAGACTCTGCCTCACATTTCATCTTCCCACGCATTGTAATATGAGCAGAAGGGAAGAAAACACTGTCTGCGAATAGGAGAGCCACGAAGCAAGTGTGCATGGCCAGTGAGTGTTTCTGAAAGGTTTCCACCGGTGTTACAAATACAATGGTTGCCATTATCCTCTTCTAAAATAGGAAAAGATTTCCTGAAGAACCGCCATCCTGCAGAGCAGTGTTGGCTCAAGAGCCTTAAAAATTCAACTATTCCATTTTCACACCATCCACCTGAAGGAAAGGTCAGAGACTTCTGTAGAGCATGGGGTATTCCCATGGGGAAAATCCCCCAAGTGATTTTTCTAGAACACATCAGAGCACATCTCTACCACACAAACGATAGTCCCAGTGAACTCCCAGTGGTTTCCAGTACCTTTGTGGGTGTCCCCACCCATCTCCCCCCACTCCTCTTCCTCCCACTCCCCCCACCCAGGCCTGCTTACTGACCCAGGAGCCCTCTTCCTGCTCACCTCAGGCCCTGGGTGCTCTTTCCCCCTCTGGACCATGTTCCCATGTACAGATGTGCATAACTGTACACCTCCCGTGATGCAGGTATTGGCTCACATCACCCTTATTTTGTCCAAATCTCCCCATTTGGTTTGTTTTCAGTACACTAGAAACTACATAGTCATTTTTTATCTATTTATTAAAGAGACTGTCTGTCCTGGTCTTCTAGCCCCGGAACCTGCATAATGCCTATTGGGTACTAGAGCCCAAATCCAAGATTTTATGAATTTCTTTTTAATGTTTGGATGATCTATGCCACACAGCTCATCCTTGAATACCCGTATTAAGGACAATTAAGAGTTGACTCTGGGGGATTCAGAAAACTTGACTCCTTATGTAAATATTTTTTCCATCTTGAGTGTATGATTAACACACTCATGTGAAGAGAGCAGAGAAATTTTCTCCAGAAATACAGCCACATTCATTCAGCTTTCCACAGCCTTGGGAACCAATCATATTCCTAAAAAAAATTATAATGAATATTTTCTACTATGGATCACATGTTAGAAATAGTGATTAGCAATGGTTGTATTTTAATTTATTCCTAATAGTTGGTAATTTCAACTGCTTTTTTTAAAATAAAGGCCAAGCATGACTATATCTTAATCATGCCTTCAAAAGCATTCTTAAAGTTTTCAGTCTTAATCTTTTTAGTTGGAGCATCTCATTTTTTGTCAGTCCAACAAGTGGAAATTCATTTTAGACAGATGAAATGCTGCCCCAAATCAGCACCTGATTGCACAAAACAGGCCCTGAGGTTGACAACTCATGAGGTGAATTGTTCCTACCTTTCTGGGCCCCCCAAATGCCAGCTCGACAAAATAGTTCCTCTTTAAGGGAAAATGTCTTGCCAAAGTGAGAGTGAGTGGATTCTACTTTAACCTTATTTATGGTGCAGCTAACACCTGATGAGACAGTGCATGAACAGGCACAGGAGGCTGTGGGAGAGGCACATTGCTTTGTGAGATGCTGCTGGGATGATGTGGGAGTCAGCTTTCTCTACTATAACAAACAACTGATATAATCAACTTAAGATGAGAAAAGGGTTATTTTGTTCATGGTTTCAAACATTTTAGTTCATAATCAGATGGTCCTGTTGGTTTTTAGCTGTGGTGAGGCCACACATCATGGTTCAGGTATTTGGTGAAGCAAAACCTCTTACCTCAAGGCCAGGAAATGAAAGAGAAGAAGAGAAGGGTCTGGAGTCCCACTCTCCCCTCCAAGGGCACACCCCCACTGCCTAAAGACCTCCCACTCCAGCCCCCCTCTTGAGGGTTCCACCACCTCCCAACAGCACCAGCCTGAGGACCAAGTCCTTGACACATGGACCTTTGGAGAATAGTTAAGATCCAAAGTGTAGCAGATGTATTTGCAAAGAATACATTTTCCTCCCAGAATTACTAAGTCACGATTAGTCATTGTCATTGCTGAAAAATGTACTTTCTTAAAAATATGTTTAATTGTGTTACATAATGTTGTATCCATACCACAGATAAAAGTCTCAAAATTCATGTTTCAAAAGAATATTCAGTGTTAGAAAACTAGTGATGAAAATGAGGTTATAAGGCAACAGGAAATATCACTCCTACTTTGTTTAGGAGAAAATACAAAACTGAAAAACACTTGAAAGGAATCTTAATAGTGCTTATCTTCAGATGACAGAAGTATCACTGACTTTTGTGTATATGTCTTTGTTTTTCAGATTTTTCCACCATAGGCAGGTACTGTTTTGGTGACTTTGAAAGCCCCATCACTGTCATCTGTTTTATTTGTGTTTGAATTTGAAGGTCCAGGTTCTGCAGGGAAAGGAGCCCCCCTGTTTTCTACAGTGTTTCCAGGGGGGGATGGTGGTGCACTCAGGGAGACGGGAAGAGGAAGAAGAAAATGCACAAAGTAAGTCACTTTTACTACTGGAATTTGATTTTTTTTTCCTTTTCCCAGAAGGTATTTTTATAGGCAAGGGGATCTAAATAAAGTTAGTAGCCTGTCTTCATATAGCTGTGGCTTTACCATTAAAGTCTCCTAATGTTTGCCTGATAAATCAGCTTTATGGGGAGCTCATAAACCCCCCCTGTCACCCCATGGAAGTTCTTCTGGGTTCCACCTTTGTATGCAGGAGACTGGAGTTTACTTCATCTTAAACTGAGTTCTCATGGTGGCTCTTATCTACGGTGGATTTAGGAGAATTTTAAAAATTAGTAGATCTTTTATTAAAAATTAGAATCTTTTTGTTAGTCAATATCAAGAGAGAGAGAGAGAGAGACACACACACACACACACACACAGAGAGAGAGAGAGAGAGAGAGAGAGAGAGAGAGAGAGAAAATGTTAGTTTTATAGCTTTATGGCTTATTTTTACATTTTTAAAAAAATGGTTTTTCTGCAATGTGGACTTTTAGCAGCCTGCTTCTAATTCCAAAAGTATTTGTTTTCTGGGAAGACCACATGCTGTCATTGCTCAGCATGACTTCAGGCTGCAGGGGCCTCAGTCTCACCAGTCCCTTAAGTCCCTGCGATGTAGTAGCTGCCTTTGATGGCACAGCTGGGAACAGAAAGGGCAGCTTTCCCTGTCCCCAGCTCAGTCATAACTCTGTGTTGCTGACGCCCCCTACAGGTGAGTGGAGACTGTACTGTGTGCGTGGAGAAGTTCCCATGGAAGGGAATTTGCTGGAAGTGGCCTGTCACTGTAGCAGCCTGAGGTCCAGGACTTCCATGGTTGTTCTCAACGTAAATAAGGCCCTCATTTACCTGTGGCACGGGTGCAAAGCGCAAGCCCACACGAAGGAGGTTGGAAGGACTGCAGCAAATAAAATCAAAGAACAGTGAGTGTTGTGTGTGTGCAGAGCTCTCCACAAAAGGGGCTTCCTGGGGGACACAGGCAGGCTAAGCTGCAGAGGGTTCCCAAGACACTCCATGGATGCCCAGTGTCCTTAGAGCAACTTCAGCAAGGGATGTTATGAACATCATCAAGGACCTCAGACATCCCAAGTAGGTAGGTAAGGCACACATGACAACCAAGACTCCAGTCTGAGAGCTGCCCCCACTTTCTGAGTATTTACCTACCTCAATACAAGGTAACATTGAGCCAGGTGTGGTGGCATCTGCCAGGAGGAGTCACATCAACCTACTTGGGAGGCCGAGGCAGGAGGATCACTAGAGTCGGTAGTTCAAGGCCAGCCTGGGCAACATAACCAAAAAAAACATAACCCTGTCTCCACAAAACGAGGGAGGGAGGAGGGAGAGAGGGAGGAATACAACCTTGAGAAGAGCAAAGGAAATGACCCAGCAACTTGTGAATGAGAAGCCTGGAATCCTTTGATATTTAAAAAGCAAGTGAAGAGGAAGATTTTTAGGCCATCAAAGTGCAGTTTGGTTTAGCTCATTCTCTGGGCACCAAAACAGCGACTGCTATAAAACTTAGTATTGCATGGAGAGGGCAGAGAGGAGGAAGGAAGGCATGGCCTTCCATCAGGCAGAGAGAGAGAAGCAGAGTCTCAGAACATCACTCTGGGCCGTGGAGCAAGAAGCGGGATGGTAAATGATACTCAGTGAGGTATCCAGGGACATTTGTGCCTCATCAAGTTTTCAACTTGGACTACTAAGGAAAAAACAAAGACAAAATACTGAAGAACTCTATTTATTCATTCAAAAAAATATTTATTGAGCACCCACATGATAACAAGCACAGATTTCGGGACTGGGGACTTGGCAGTCAAGGCACCTGTCTTTCTCCTCTCGAAGTTTGTGTTCTAGCAGAAGAGGACAAGAAATAGTGAAAAAAAAAAGTTGTGTTATTTATAAAAATGTATGTTATTTTCATTGCATATTATATGTAATTACACATTCCTCCCCAGGAGCTGGCTGACCCTTCCTTTTCTAACACAAACATAGTCATAAAGCACAGAATGTTTTTTCATTCATTAGTAAAAAATTGCTTTTAATTAGAAAGTAAAAGATAGTGAGCTGATCTGTAGATTTAGTCTTGAATAATTTTGTGCTGTCAACACTTTCTGGACTTATAATATTGACGTTTCTTCTGCGCAGATGTCCCCTGGAGGCAGGATTGCACAGTAGCAGCAATGTGACAATACATGAGTGTGACGAAGGATCTGAGCCACTGGGATTCTGGGACGCTTTAGGAAGAAGAGATCGGAAAGCCTACGATTGCATGCTTCAAGGTAAAGCACCGCCACAAACTTCCATCACTTGTTAAGATTCACTCAGCAATTTATTCAATAAACATGTCTGAAAAATGGGCTGTATCTAACACAATGAACCGGCCTAGGGGATGTCCCCCCGGGGCCTACAAAATGGAAATTGTTATGTGTCATGAAAGAGGTACATGTGAAGGAGGCTGAACGTGGAAAAGAAAAAGTGTTTCTTCTACCAAGAAAAAATCACACAAAGCTCCATGGAAAAGAGATGGGATTTTCACAGTGTCTTAGAAGTTGGTAAAGAAGAAAAGAAAATTCCAGGAAAGCCTATGAGCAAGAACATGATGTAAACCAGTAGAACAAGATGCTGCTTGGTTTGGCCGGCAGCTAGGATGCAGGGTAGAGGTGAGAGTTCTGTGAAGGAGTGCGTCTGAACCAGATCAGGAAGGATCCTGAATTTGAACAAGGGACCAGAAATCCTGAGACACCCACAGGGCTCTGCCATTTACAGAAGTCACAGGAGGAAGGGAAGGTTTGGAGGGCAGTGTCAATCATATTTAATAGACACTTAATGAATAATGCATACTCAGTAGATGTTTAATAAATAAGCGGTCATGTGAAAATTGCCAACAACCTGTGAACTTGAGAGAGAGTCATAGAGGATATGACCATGGTCTGCCAAAAGGGGTAGACAGGAGAAGGAAGCATTATGGGACCTTGTGCTTCATGCTGTAGCTCTTAACCTTTCAGGCACTGGTAGATGCCTGTGAGAAAGTAAAGGACACAGTCCTTAGAAAAGGGCATCGTAAAAAAATGTGGACTGTGTTGGTCAAGGTTTTTATATTAAAGGCCCATCAGCTAAAACCCATCATTTAAAGGACAGTAGACAAAGATGGAACACATGAGAAGTGAGGTCAGAAGAATGTCACAGACATCAAGAGAACATGTCATCAAAGAAGGGACAGTCACCACTGCTGATGGCACAGAGTTCAGGGATTAAGGACATTTCTTTCCAACATTTCCTTGTTAGATTGATGATAAGTTGCTCATCAGAAGTTTTTTTCCCGACCAATGCCACATCAGCCCAACAGAGAGTGGCAGAGTGGCCGCCCCAGAGGTAGGAGAAGCCAGTGTAAAGTTGGAAACATTGAATAATAAAAGGAAGGGAAAACCATATGAATTGAGCATCCCTTATCCAAAATGCTTGGGTCCAGAAGTGTTTTGGAATTTGGATTTTTTTTGAGATTTTGAATATTTGCCCATACATATCATGGAAGTGGGACCCAAGTTTAAATGCAAAATTCATTTTTGTTTCATATGTCCTTCAAACACACAGCCTGAAGATAATTTCATAGGATATTTTTGGTGTGCCTGTGTTTTTACTACAGCTCATCACATGAGATCAGATGTGAATTTTCTGCATGTAGCATTATGTCAGCACTCAAAAAGTTTTGGATTTTGGAGCATTTCAGATTAGGGATGTTCAACATGTAATAGGAGGGATATCAGAATCAAAAGGATGATATTTAGGCACTAGATGATCGAATGTTTTTTACCTGTCCTTGGCACCATTTCAGGATGGAGCAAAAGAATTCACCTGAGGGATTGAAATGTAGACATGGATGTTGAAATGGATGATTAAAGGAGGAAAGTCCATGAGTGGCAGGAATTAAGGGGACAAGGGAAATGCACCTTAGGAAGAAGATGACATCTTTGTTGCTTATTGAACATCTTCTTTGTGTCCAACTTCATGATGAAAGTTATGATTTGAGCCTGTAAAAATGCCCATTGTTAGTGAGAGGTGACAAATGTAGATGATCTGTAAAGGACCACCTGGGGAGAAAGCCTGTGAGGCGCACAAAAGAACAGACACAGACTGAGAGTATAAGGAGGTGGAGCAGAGAGGAGTGAAGTGAAGAAGCAAAGAAAGAGAAGTGCAGAATGAAGTATCGGCTCCTCCCTCCTGCCGAGTTTATTAACTCAAAAAAGGTTACATATTACCCATCACACCTGACTACACTCTAACCAGAGTGCTAGCTAACGGAGATAAGGTCCAGCTTAATACAAACACAGAGCCTCTCACATCCAAGGACGTTACTATGGAAACCAGGTAGTGCATCCACATAGTTATCTTAACAGCCTCAGGGGGTTACTGCTGGGCATTCTAATCCTGGGAATCAGGGCACCAGTTATGGGGGTGGGGGGATGCTTCCCTGTCTGTTTCCACGGTCAGAATACCTGTAATAACCCATGGGTGGGGTGGGGAAGCAGCACCTTGGAGGACACTCATTCTCCTAGGGGGAATAGTGTGGGCCACCCTACCATACCCCGTTATCACTTCTTGCTGCTACAGAATCAAGGCTTCCTTAGTAACAGTTTTCCATTGCTGTGACAAAAATACCAACACACAACTTAAAAGAAGAAAAGGTTTATTCCCGTTACCTTTCCCAGTTTACATGAGCATCTTCAACTTACTGGAGCTCACTTAGTTCTGAGTAACTGGTAATCTTTTCCAGAAATCTCCCTTGAATTGCCAGAATCTGCTTTGCAACAAAGTGCCCTTTACCAATGCACATTTTTAGCCATTTGTATTTCTACTTTGGCAAATGTTTATTTATGCCTCTTGTACTTTTTATTGTGCTATTTATCTTTTCCTTTTTTAAAATTTTTATTTGGTACTGGGGATTCAACCCAGGAGCTCTTTACCACTGAGCTATATACCCAGTCCTTTATATTTTTTAATTTGAGACAGGATCTCACTCTAAGTTGCTGAGGGTCTTGCTAGATTTCTGAGGCTGCCCTTGAACTTGGGATCCTCCTGCCTCCATCTCTCAAGTAGCTAGAATTACAGACACCTGCCACACTGTGCCTGGCTTACCTTTTCTTTATTTATGTACCTTCATATATTAAGGATACTAACTAGTTGCTATATTATAAATATTTCCTATTTTGCTATGTGCTATGTCATTATTAAAATTTTATACAGTAATTTTTAAATTTTTATATAACTCAGGTATAAATATTTTCCCCTTGGATTACTTCTTCTATTTTTGCAGTTAAACAGGTTTTTCCTGGAGTGGGGGTGTAGCTCCATGATTGAGTACTTGCCTAGCATGTGCAAGGCCCTGGGTGTGATCCCTAGCACCACAAAAAAGAAAAGAAAGGCCTTCTCTGTCTCCAAGCTCCGATGAATCCTACCTATGTTTCCACTAATTCCTTGAATCGTGTCATGTTTTGCCTTGATTCTTGAATCTATCTGGAATTTACTTTGGTGTACACATGGTGCTCTGTTCTTTTTTCTTTCAAAGATCCTGGCAGCTTTAACTTCGCTCCCCGCCTGTTCATCCTCAGCAGCTCCTCTGGAGATTTCTCAGCCACGGAGTTTGTGTACCCCGCCAGTGCCCCCACTCTGATCAGCTCCATGCCCTTCCTGCAGGAAGATCTGTACAGTGCCCCGCAACCAGGTGAGGCCTGTGCAGGCACAGCTCATGCTGAGTACCTTCCAGAGGGCCTTTGTATTTTATGTTAGTATTTATCAGGCAGTTTCTGTTTGCCAAGTACACTGCCAGAATGTTTGCCTTTCTTGTCTAATTAGTCCTCATACCTACCCTGAAAGGAAGGAGAATGAGATCAACCACATATTACAGCCTAAAGAACTAAAGCTCTGTTACTTCATCACCCAAAGGCACCAGTTAATAAGTGGAGTGCAGATATCATTTTTTTGGTTCCTTCTATTGTCCTAGCCTTCCTCTCAGATTTATTGCTCCATGGTCCCCGAGTGGACTGCCCTTGCTCCAGCCATCATGTTTGCATTCAAAACAGAAAGAGAAGGGAAGGACGGTGTTAGCCATGTCTCTCTCCTGTTTGACAGATAAAGCCAAAACTTTCCCCAATCCCCCATCAGATTTCTGCTCACATTCCATTGGCCAGAGCTTGTCATGTGGCCACCCCAGCTGCAAGGCCACCCTGGGAAAGCAAGCATCTGCTGAGTTAGCCAGAAAACAGCGTCTGCTATGGCAAGACTCACAGCAAAGCTCAGACTTACCCAGGTCTTCTGATCCCAAGGTCAGGGCTGTTTCCACCAGCCCACCATTTCAGGGCTCCCCATCTTGTTGGGACCATCACAGGAGCCTGAGCTTTAAAACCCTCCCACCCTCGTGTCAATCAAGCCTGAAGCCAGCAGCCCCTGAGCTCATGGTTTGTCCCTTCTTGTGTTACAAGAGCCTGAAGCCGCAGCCAGGCACCTGACCTTAACACTGGTCATCCCAGTCACCATGGAAAGTTTGGCCAGCACACATGTCATGCTGTGAGAGACATTACCAAGTGTCTAAAAGGAGCTGCGCCCTACCCTCTTCATCCCGGGACTCAGGATGAGTTCTCAGCCTCCACTGGGCTATTATTTTAAAGCAGGTTGTGTCCCCAGAATCCCAAAATGCATGTCAGGAACGAACTCAGGATGAAATGAGCTAGGAAGTCGGAGATCCCTTTTGCCGTGTAGAATATCATTCAGGCCAAAACTTGTGGGAGGAAAGATGGGAAGGAAGAGCCAGAACAATTATGAGTTTTAAAGCCCAAACCTCTCTAAGAAGACCATAGACTTAAATTATTGCTAAGCAGTCAGACAAGAGCATGAACGCCAGAGGGCAAGGAAGATGTGCTGTCCAGCTTTTATTCTGCTCTTTGGAGATACATGGAGGCTGACAGACCCTTGAGGGTTTAGCTGGACCCTACATATATCCAGAAGGGCCTTGGGCAGGCCTGGGGTTGCGCTGGGGTGAGGGATGAGGACTCAGAGGAGAAGGAAAGAAAGACACCTCTATTCTCTGCCTAAAAGGCTTTCCTGGGTTAACTACCAAAGGGCTGAGGTGTGCCAGGGCCTTCCATGTGCGCCTTTGCCTCTGAGCTTCAGGGAGCTGTCACCCCTGACAGGGCAGGACTGGGAGAGGCACCCCTGACATTTAGGGCAGAGGAGAGGAAGTGCCAAGCAGCAGCTTCTGATTATGTGGTTCTCTTCTCACACTCCCAGCACTTTTCCTTGTTGACAATCACCATGAGGTGTACCTCTGGCAAGGCTGGTGGCCCATCGAGAACAAGATCACCGGGTCTGCCCGCATCCGCTGGGCCTCTGACCGGAAGAGCGCCATGGAGACCGTCCTCCAGTACTCCAGAGGTGAGAGCTGTCGGCAGGGATGGGCTGGGGACCCTCCAGAGGCCCAGGCCCATCTTACCTTTCTGCACTTGCCCACCAGCCTTGATAAAGCCAGGCAGATGGCAGCAAACCAACTTTTCCCCTTTCACTTTTTGAGGCTTATGAATATCATGATCAGTACATTCTTGGCTGCCATCATAAGTGAGAATTCATTTTATCTTTCCTATTATGAGATCATCCAACTTGTATCATCATCCAGCCTAAAGGTGTATTGTGGAACACTCCAGAATAACTAAACCCCTATTGCCCTGGGGATTAATAATGCCCTGAGACAAGCTGACCTCTGCCCATTATCTGCAGGCAGCCTTTGAAGAGAAATCTCCCCCAAATTGGCCAAAAAGTCGATGTCAACCTTTTTGTCATTCGTTATTATTTTTAATATCACCTCCAAAAAGAAAGACTTATAGTTCATCCTCCTGAAATATGTGGTCTTTTAGATGACATAAAGATGCCAATAATTAATTTCTTATCTGAATGTTTATAGTTTTATCAATTAGCTTGATATCACTAAGTACGTACAATTGATTCTCGAAAAGCTCTTTCATAATAAATAGCTTTTTAAACTTTGCACCAAATGTCAAAGCCACAGTGGACGTATAAAATGCTGTCATTAGCAGCCTAATGCTATTACAACTTTGTCCTATGTTGGGAAGTCAGAGGAAACCCTCCTGAGGTGAATAAGGAGGAAGCAAATGTCCCATCAGGAAGAGACTTCAGCCCTTCCAGGGACTCAGAAGCATTTTTGTTGGTTTCAGGAGGGAGAGTCAGGTCGATTTCATGTTACTTCTATAGCCATAGGCATGAAATTAACATTTTATATAAACTTCATCTATGTGTTGTTATGAACTATTCATAACCCACATTTTGAGCAAAAGAAGTTCTGAGCCAAAGAAGAAGAGATTTCAAAGGAAAACAGAGGAAGACAAGGCCCTTGGTTCTGCCAACATTTACATTCTGTGTAACTACAGGAAAGAATCTCAAGAAACCGCCCCCCAAGTCTTACCTTATCCACGCTGGTCTGGAACCCCTGACGTTCACCAACATGTTTCCCAGCTGGGAGCACAGGGAGGACATTGCTGAGATCACAGAAATGGTGAGCACACTCCCTGCCCCTGCCTTCTAGACCACTGGTGGATGTCACCTGGGGAAGAAGCATCCAATTGCACTTTGAGAGTGGGAACACATTCTGTCTTTTGCAACATGCTCTCCTGTCTACATAGAATTAGCTTAGGAAATGGAGAAGCCTATTGGGAAATCAACTGAACTCTTTTGGTTATTTTCCACACAAGTACTCAGATTTCAAATACTTACAGGCAAAGATGAATTTAATTAGTTTGAAGACTATCTATAAATAAAAGCTGCCACCTCTTCATTCTGTTAGCTTAGCAAACCTATTGCTTCTCAAGGTCCATGTGATGTGGGCCAAGTCAGGACATTTCAGATGTTAGCCTTGTGTAGAAGAGACACAGAATAAAATGGTGAAGAATGGGTGTGTTCACATAACTCAGGGGATGGATGTGTCGTGACTTTCATGAGAAGGTATTGCTCAGTATCTCGTAAATTATTGTCTTTTATGAGACTGCCTGGTATACATGAGATATCCATGGCACCTTTTATCTACAGAAAGATATTCTTATCCAGAGTGTTTTATTTTCCAACCTCAGAGAAAGAAGCTTAGCAAAGCTATGTAGAATTTAATTTATGAGTTAAATTCGCTAGCTGTACCAATTCCAAGGGTTTCTTTGGTTTGATGGCAGAGTTTCGTTCCATTTTGATTTGGTTGCTATGTAGGAGAAAACTGCTTTTCTGGGAGAAAGAACCTGATTGTATTTTATAGGAAATGTTGAGTAGTTTTAAACAAACAAAAAAGAATCTGCAGCAGCATGTCAATAGAGAGGGCCTATGTAATACTGCAAACGTTGCTGCTTTGTCCAACTTCTCTTTTTGTTTTTGGTGCTAAGGATGTAACCCAGGGCCTTGGACGTGCCAGACAAGCACGCTACCATTTAGCTACATCCCTGGACCCTTTAGCCTGTCTTTCTTTAACCAAATGGATTTGATCTACACAAGGAAAGGGCTGATTGAAGCCTGATCTCTGACAAAGAACAAGATGGTCCTGTTATAAATAATAAATATAAACAATAATACATAAATAGTAAATATGGGCTTGCCAAACCCAAAAGCTGCAAGGATTACCAGTACCACAGCTGCCTCCTACTGTCCAAGCTGAAGAATGTGAATTGCCATCAGAGTTCTGTCCTCACTACAGGTCCTTGGGGGTCAGCCATGGGCCATGTAATGAGGTACAGGCCTGTGGGATCTCAGCCAGTGAAGGACCGGGCTTCCCACACCAGCAGACTGGACCAGTAATTAAGATTCACTGAGTGCTCACTCTGTGCTAGGCACTGCTCCAAGTACTTTACATTTACTTTTCTCATTTAATTACCAGGACAGTCCATTAAGATTCATCTTATGTTTTATCCCTGTTTTGCCAGTGTAGGAGCAGAAAGCAGAAAGTCACTTGTCCTACGTCTCAGAGCCAGTGAAAGGCACAGGCAGGCTCATTTCTAAGACCCCTCTTGACCACTGGTCTGAATTTGGCAACAGATCAGAGTCATTCATTTCCCCCATCCACCTGCCCAAAGGGAAGGCAGCCCGTCTGGGATCCAAGTTTAATGGAAGAAGATAATTTATCCAGAATAACTGTTCAGATTAAATGCACACACTTGTTTAAGAACAAAAGAAAATCGATCTATTCTCAGAATGTTCTAGGTACATTTGGTGTGTGTGTGTGTGTGTGTGTGTGTGTGTGCGCGCGCGCGCGCGCGCTGAGGGGATAAATCCAGAGCCCTGTGGGTGCTAATTTTATTCTATTATCTGGATGTTTAGACTTCAGATTCAATAATCTTATTTCATAATTCACTCTTGCGAGAGTCCCTAAACATTTATTTTCTTTGTGGTGCTGGTGATCAAACCTAGAACCTTGTGTATGCCAGGCAAGCACTCTACCACTGAGTCACACGCCAACCTTCTCAACACATTTTTTGGAGGCAGCCCTGACACAGGATTTATTTGAAACTTCATGTAGGGCAAAAAATCATCTAGAAGTCAGGAGAACCTTGGGGCCGTGGGCTGTTCCCCTACGTTCAACAGCCCTCTTCTCTGACAGTGATTGCAAGCACTTGATAAAACGTGTTCAAATGTGGGATACACTGAGTTCTCTCCGCTCCCTCCTCTTCAGGACATGGAAGTTTCGAATCAGATCATCCTTGTGGAAGAGGTCTTGGCCAAGCTCTGCAAAACCATTTATCCACTGGCTGATCTCCTCGCCAGGCCACTCCCGGAAGGAGTGGATCCTCTAAAGCTTGAGATTTATCTCACGGATGAAGACTTTGAGGTGAGTATTACTTCAGGTGGATGGGAAAGAGGCAGCAGCCCTGTTCGGAGCAGCCTTTCACTCAGGCTGGCTTTTCTTGTCTTCCACTAGTTTGCACTGGACATGACAAGAGACGAATACAATGCGCTGCCCACGTGGAAGCAGGTGAACCTCAAGAAAGCAAAAGGCCTGTTCTGAGTGGGAGAGGAACTGTGGTGGTCACTTTCAATACCACTGGACCAGAAAAAATGAATATTTTTTTGGACTGGTATTTTTTTTTTTTTAAAGAATGGTATTTTTAAAACAAGAGTTTTTCAGAACCTGACCTTATTAACTATTCTGCGCATCCCAGAGTTGTGCATTTTGTAAATGTTTAAGAGAACTCTTTGGAAACTACCTTTCCACAGTTCAGGGGTGATGTCAATAAAAGCATCAGTCATAAGCAGCGAGCGACTCCCCAGCAGCGGCTACAGCACTGCCCTCTTGGTCCAGCAAAAGCATTGCCTTTTTTTGGTTCGTTTGTGTTTTTTTTTTTTTTTTTTTTTTTTGAAGCAGTTCTCTTTATAAAGTGTTATTTTGATAGTTTGTGGATTCTAAAATATATATATATTTATATAAACACCGTATAAATCAATATGTATTTAACAAAGCAATATGTATTCATTCACTTTTCTGTTGTTGTTGTTTTTTGGTGTCAAAATATTATTAAAAGGTAGATGGAGTTGCTTCTGTTGAATTAGGTCTGCCACCCATCTGTATGCTCACGTGCGATCAGAAGCCTTCCTTCGGCGTTAGTCTGACTTGTTCTGAGTACTGCTTCCGGTGCTAAAACGAACAAAGCATTTGTACTTAAGAGCATGGACTTTGGCGAGTCTGTGTGAAACCAACCTTTCTACCTTAATATATCCCCCAAAATGTATAGTGCCTTGTTTTTATGTACAGTTTATATACAGAAATGTTTGCTCTGCATTTTTTTTTTTTTTTGATGATGGTTTGGAACATTATTTACAGTTTTACTCTCAAATAGTAGAAATAAAAACATCTCAGTTTCTAATAACTATTGTAAACATTACACATGTCATTTTGTGACAGGACTCCCAAATAAAGACTTCAGGATAATCACAACAATTAACTGATTGATTCACATTAAATTCCAAGCATGTTCTTTGATGGGGGAGGAAACAGATTTTGTTTTTATAATTGTCAACCTCTTACCACTATTTTGCCATTAAATATTCGCTGTTGTAACTTTGAATTTAGTTTAGGGCAGTATTTTACACAAGGTCGTAAATAGATATTTGACCCATGAAATTAATTCTGAGTACTATGGTGAAGACATAGTTTTACAGACCATCATCAGAAGCTTTTAACTCTACCACTATGTACATTTCAGTTTCAGGACCTCGGTGCCTTTCAAAAAAAGAGTGGATGTTTAAGGTACATGGGAAACAAAGTGAGTCTGGAAACTCCTTTGCAAGTTCCTATGTTCTTAATATACCAAATCCAGGGCTGGGGATGTAGCTCAGTGGTAGAGCACTTTCTTAGCCTGCTCAAGGCTCTGGGTTTCATCACCAGCACCACATATGACAAGAAAGAGAGAGAGAAGGAGAAAGAAAGAAAAGGCAGAGAGAGAGGGGGAGAGAGAGGGAGAGGGGGAGAGGAAGGGAGGGAGGGAGAAAGAAAGGAAGGGAGGGAGGGAGGGAGGGAGGGAGAAAGAGAGAGAGGAAGGGAGGGAGGGAGGAGGAAGAAGAAGAGAGAGAGAGGGAGAGGGAGAGAGAGAGAGAAAAAAAATACATGGTTTTGAACAGATTCTACCATGAATCAGTACAGTCCTTTCCCGATCCTTTTTAGTCTAAGTTTAACATATTTTATAATCACACATTTGCCTTAAACTTTATAACGATGTGTCCCATCCTAGGACTGTACTAGGGTCAGGGGCTTATGAAACACTCCTGGTCCCACCACATTATGATTGTGTGATACTGGGCAAGCACTGAAATTACCCACCGTGGCTTCCTTAAGAAAGGAGACAGTAACTAGCTCTCCTGCCTGCATCACAGGATTCTTGGCAAGGACAAAGTAGAAGCTCTTAAGAAATTGTCAAGTGCTAGATACCTGCTGTTATTAATATTATTGTGATGATAGCTGAAAGCGGAAAGCACGAGCATTGAGGACCTTGTGCACCTAGAAATTATAGATCAAATAAAACCAAGTGGCGTCTGTGGGAAAACCTGGGGAGTATCACAAAAAGGGAGACTGAGCTGCCAGCATCTGTAGCAGACTAGAAATTCACCTACATTCTTAGACACACAGAAAGTATATTAGGGTTCTCCAGAGAGACAGACAATTGGAGATAAGTGATTGATAGATGATGGGTGAATAGATGATGATAGATGATAAATACATGATAGATATAGATGATAATCATGATGAAGATTGATAAATAGACAGAAATGACAGATGGATGATAGGGAGTTTAGGCTGTCTGCTGGCTGGAGACCCTGGAAAGCCCGTACATGGCTGTCCAAAAATAAAGTCTTCAGAACCAGAGATAGCCCAGGGAGCTAGCTACTGGTACAAGTCCTAGTGCCCAAGGACTGAAGAACCTAGAGTATTGATCTCCACCCCAATGAAAGAAGAGTGCATTATTGCTCCAGGAGAGAGAAAGACAGTTCACTTTTCTCTGTTTGGGGGTTTTCAGGGGGCGGGGAGCAGCAGGTGGGATGGTGCCTGCTCTTACTTAGGATAGATCTTCCCCCTTTCAGTCCATTCAGATTCACACACCAGTCTCCTCTGGAGATTGTAATCTTCACAGCTACACCAAAATAATGCTTTGCTAGTTCCCTAGTATTCCTTCATCCTGTCAGGGTGACACCTAAACTGAACCTCACAGCAAGTAACAAGTTGCTATAGGAACCTCCCATTGGAGAGTCTCCTTTAATTAATAAATAAGTCAGGCGTCATCAGCAAGATCCGTTACAGCCAGATCACCCCGAAAGTGCTTGAAATCGTGTGTCTCTGCTTGTATTAAACACTGCCCCCCAGTGAAGAGCTGTCAGTCTGCCTCAGGCCTCTTTGTAAACAAGTCACCCCATCCTCTGTCACTAGCTCACTTTTTACCTCTTTTCCTCTGGATTGTTTCTTGCCTCTCTTTCCTGCTTCCCAAACCAGACTCTTCCTTACATGGGTTTTCAGATGCACTGGGACCCTCAGCTGCAGCCTTTCTCCTTTGCATCCCTGGACAGGACCCACCCTAAAAATTTAAACTGATAAATCCTAATGAAACTTGGCCCTTTAAGTTTGTCAGGGGACTTCCCCCTTGGCCAAAGGCCCCTACAAAAGCCACTGCCCTAGGAAGATTTGATTGAACCCAGCAGGATCAGAGACGTGGATTCTCCTTAGTTTGCTACTTCAGGACTGAGGGGCTGTGTTTGGGTTGAGATCCACATCACAGCTGCAGGGGGATAGATGGAATGTCATTTGCTCTGAAGCTTTGCACAAACAGGAGCAATTTCCAGAAGAGCGGAATGACCATACCTGTTTGTTCCCCTTGGGCTTTCCCCAGCTCAGAGGGAGGGAAAACCTACTCAGGAGTCCCCTTCTCTCTTATTTTATAATTTTTTTCCCCACTCTTAAGAATTTCCATTTGAGTAAAAAAAAAAATGTATTCCAGATACAGTTCGAGAATCAATTTAGGTCTCCAGTTTGATTGATTTTCTAATAATAACTGGTGTGCTCTCTGTCTACACAGAGACTGGTACAGACACATTCAGGGAAGCAACATTCATAAAAGTCTAAAATCTATAAGCAGATCCTGACCATCCACTGAGAAATGAATAAACAAAATGTGGTGCTTACATGCAATTGACTACTGTCCAACAAAGGAAGGGACAGATACTAGTGTATACCCATGATGAAGAGGTCAAGTCCAGAAGGCCACATGCTGTGTGATTCTGTGTACATGAAACTTCTGAAAAAGGCAAATCTACTTAGAAAGTATACCCAGAGTGGCCAGGATTGCAAATTGGCACAAAGAATTTGTGAAGTAATGATGAAAACGTTATAAAACTGGATTGTACTGATGGTGGCACAACTCTACAAAGACACAAAAAGTTACAGAACTGTTCACTTAGATGGGCACACTTTATGCCATATACCTCAAGGGAGGTATATACAGTTCTTAAAAATAGTAACTCTTGGTCTATGTGTAAACTCTCAACATTACATGGATATATAAATTAGCAATTGAAAATCATGGATAATCCCACTTCACAAACACACATACCTTAACAATTTATATTCTTCAACAATTTTCTTTACATCTATTAACATAGATGTGTAGGTCCATATAATTTTTAGAACAAAAATTATATTGGTTCTTCTTGGACACTGAGCCTTGGATGTTTTTGTGTTCATATTTGGTTCTGAGGTCACATGGGACACAGAGTGAAGACCTAAATCAGTAATTGTGCAGGACCCCAACCTCACCAACAAACCCTCATCCTCTCTACCCATTCTTCATTCCCTGCTGGCCGGGAGCAACATCAATCAAGGGCCCAGAGACAGAAAGTGGGGGTTAGCTTTCAGGGCCTTTCTTGATCTCAGAGCCAGAGGAAGGACCCAAAGTGTAGTAATATGAATGCAAACATTTGAAAACTGACTACAGTTATCCTGTGGATACCACAGTCTACAGATGTTCAAGTCCCTTGTAGAGAATGGCATAATGTTTACATAGAACCTGCCCACATACTCCTGTCTACTTAAAACCATCTCTAGATTACTTATAATACCTAACACCATACAAATGCTATGTAAAAAGTTGTTATAGTGAATTGTCTAGGGAATAAAGATTCCCCCCCAAAAAACATCTGTACATGTTCAGTTCAGATGCAATTTCTTCTTTGAATATTTTCAATCTCTGGTTCAATCTGTGGATGAGGGCCCACTGTTTATTATTATGGCATCTGGCCCAAAGAAAAAACTTCCTCCTTTTAAAAAGTAAAGACACTGCATCTCACACACTTGCTCTTTCCCCATCAGAGGAATGCTATCAGGGCTGCTCCAGGCTACTACTATAGATGTACCCAAGGATTAGATCAGAAAGATGGATTTGCAAGGGAGAAGGCTGGAGGCTTTCTGTTCCTATAATCAGTACCATGGATCTACTGTGCCTGTTGAGCTTGTATGGAAATATCCCACTGTTTTCACAGTGTATAATGCTGAGCCTTGAGGATTAATAGAGAAGAGAGATTAGCAACCAGCTTCCCACGTGTCTAAACTAGTCCTCTACTGAGCTTTTCTATCATGCTGCTGAGATTGAAAAGAAAGTTGCAAGACCCAGAATGAAAGCAAGCTAAAGTCATGAAAGGCAGTGTCCGAGACACCTCCGCCTTAACATTCCATCACAGTCTCATCAGTCACAAGACACCATGGGTTTCTGGAAGTCTCTTAAGGGCGATGCTGGAACTGACTTCTCTTATCTGGACCTTGACATAAATTGTTATTAAATCTTATTTGAATTATTACTGTCCAAACACCATTTTAACATTCATCCTCAAATGGTTGTTGTAACCAGATTTTCTAGGTCTATAAAAGTAAAGAAACATGAACAACAACTGGACGAGGCAACTTGCAACTATAAAGAAGCAAAGAAACATAAAAGGGGACAGAAATGAGACAAGAATGAGAGTGGTGTCTGCATGTGGAAAATGGCCACCAAAGAATGGCTAGGGGAGCTGAGGTCTTGGGTGGTGTTGCACCCATCCTAGGAAGAGATGATTAAGTAGGCCCCGCCCTCCTTGGAGCCTCCCCTCCCTCCTCCAAGGTCCCCTTCAGTGGTTCCTGGAGAAGGCCATTCCGTTTTTTAAATCGGGAATCACAAAAGGATTCCCTTTTGTCAGCGATGACATTGAGGTCCCAGGGGGACTTTCCTTTTGGTTGTTAGGGAGGGTCTTCCCATAGATTCAAAGCTAACCACTGTGACAGGCCCACCATCGCTGAAATGTGTTTCTGGCCTCATGCTGCACATTCCAGACCGTCATTACTTTAATGTCCACGCTCATCCGTGAGCTCATGCACATACTGCTTGCTCCGTACAAGTATGTACTGGGTGTGTGCTAAGGATAAGGCTCAACAGGTCACAAATATGATT